AGAGGACACTGGCCCTGTCCCCCGTGGGATTCCTGGATGTCTGTGAAGGGCTGTTTTCTGTTGGTGTCCCAAAGGCCCGCCCAGCCCTGGAAAGCTGCTGCTGGCTCTATGTGGAAGCAGGAAGTCACAGCATGCTGCAGAACTCACTTCTGAGATGCTAGGGTCCATCCAGCAGACTCTAGACCTCCAGGCCCCCTGGACACTGGCGTTGTGTGGCCAGTCCTGGTGCTGAAGCCAGATTCTTTGATGTAGTTGAATAAGAATGGTGTTAGGGACTCAGGAATAATAAACCCAGGTCATCCAGTCTGGTCCTTGGTTTTTGAAGTTTATGTATTTTAAGTGTGCTTAGAAGGCAGATGACAGAAGCGGGGTGAGAAATCTGTTGACTTACCCTCCACGTGTCTGCCATAGCCTGGTCTGGGCCAAGCCAAAGGTAGGGGCCCTGAACAGCATCTCCAGGCTCGTACATGTAAGGCGGGGACCTAAGTGCTTGAACCCTGACCTGGTGTCTCTGGGATCCATTAGCAGGGAGATGGGTTGGAAATGGGGTGAAGCCAGGACTGGAACAAGGGACTCCAGCACGGATGCAGGTGTCAGTAGGAACAGTGTATCGTGCTGTGCCACATTGCCTGCCCCAGTTCTTGGTATTAGTGGTGTCAGATATATGTTTTCATATGAGGGTTTAATAAGTGTCACGGCTTGCACAGAGTAAAGGAGGATTCCTAGGTAAATGCAATTCTGAATTCCACTTTGAAGGTCGTGAACAGGCTGAACTAACTGGACTCCGACTTGCCAGCTTGGGGTTGAAGTTTAATAAAATCGTCCATTCCTCCATGACTCGGGCGATAGAAACCACTGACATCATCAGTAAGCACCTGCCAGGTGAGTGTTTGGAGCCAGATGCAGGGCAGCTTGTGCGCTGGCCATGGCGGGGGTTGCTGTGATCCCCAGCCTTGGATGTGACGGCTCCCCTGGGCCTCCCCTCAGGTGTCTGCAGGGTCAGCACAGACTTGCTTCGGGAAGGCGCCCCCATTGAGCCTGACCCGCCTGTGTCTCACTGGAAGCCAGAAGCTGTGGTAAAAACACCCCCCAGCGAGCAACCCTCCAGCCCCTGGGCTGCTGCCAGGGAGTCCCTGCCTTGTGGGCCTGCCCTGATTCCAGCTCCTTCCACACTGACGATCCCTTGCTCTGCCCCCAGCAGTATTACGAGGATGGAGCCAGGATCGAGGCTGCCTTCCGTAACTACATCCACCGGGCAGACGCCAGGCAGGAAGAGGACAGTTATGAGATCTTCATCTGTCACGCCAATGTCATCCGCTATATTGTGTGCAGGTAGGCACTGCCCAAGTGCAGTCTAAGATAACTTCACACTTGGCAAAAAGCAGATAGAATGGAATTCGGGGGCACCCATTGCCCAGGTGTCCCTGGACCCATCTGGAGTAGTCATCTGGGTTGGACTTCCTGCACAGACAGGCAGGGTGGCTCAGGGTTCTGCTCAGGTGCCTTTGTGAGGGCGTGCTTTCCCTCAGCACCTTCGGAGATTTAGTGATCCTGTGTCCTGGGCTCAACCAAGGGTGGTTAGTGTCTGGCAGCGGCCATCATGCTGGGGTCTGCCTGGGCTCAGTTCTTAGGTCACACTAGGACTCTTGGGGTATCTGTGGGGCTTGTGCTCTGGGACTGTCACTACCAGCAGGGCTGCTGGGGGGCAGGATATACCCGTGTCCTCTGCCTACAGAGTTAGCAGACATCCCAGGCTTGCTGCAGTCCCCCAGCCAGCCACTTCTCTAAGTGCCATGGCAGCAGGGGCCACACGTGGGGGTAGGAGCTATTTGAGGCAGGCAAAGGGTTGGCCAGATCTTTGCCCTATGTACAAAATGGAGTGAAATCTTGTTCCCCATCAGTCCATAGGGTAGTTCTGTTGCTATGTGGAGGTGAAACACCCCAAGAGACGAGTGTGGTCACATCCAGACCCTGTCCTTCTTTCCCAAGACACAGTGTGGACCTCTTGGGTAGTGTGGTCAGGAGACAGGCAGTCCCCTTGAACACAGGGATGTTGGGGAGCCAGGTAGCTCAGCTCACAGCCACTGTGGACCAGAGGACTCTGCTGGTGGGAGAGAGTGGTGGGCATATTTCCCTTCGTAGAAACTTACCTCCAGGGGCGCTGCCCCTAGCGCACCTGACCCTGAGTCATGGAATGATGTCTGTGCTGTTAACAGCTCGTTCTCACCAAGGATGCTTTACCAGATCCTCAGGAACTAGTCTGAGTGTGAGGAGGCGATGCTGTGTGGGCCTGTGTTGTGCTGAGCTCCTGGGGTTAACCTGAGGACGCTTCAGAAGGGAGCGGGCGGGTGGATGGAAGGGGGCATCAGCTTACCAGACCTGCTGCTCAATGGCTTGCAAGGAAGTGGCAGCAGCACTCAGCTCTCCCAGGCTGTAGGTCACCGCATGGATCCTGGGGGACCTGGAGATCCTCAGAGGAGGTAGATGGCATTCCTGGGCAGCGCAGCATCTTGATAGGAAGAAGCCAGGCACCGCATGGAGCCAAACCCTAGACCTCTGTTCAAGGGTTAGTTTGTTCCCACCTCAGCCAGCCTTGCTTGGAGGGTGGGCATGATGCTAATGTTGTCCCTGATGGGGAGCTGCTGGCCTTGTGGCCAGACCTGGCTCCAGCAGGGTCTTCCTTCCCCCAGGGCACTGCAGTTCCCGCCTGAAGGCTGGCTCCGGCTCTCCCTCAACAATGGCAGTATCACCCACCTGGTGATTCGACCCAACGGCCGGGTGGCACTCAGGAGTCTTGGTGACACAGGGTTCATGCCCCCTGACAAGATCACACGGTCTTGAGGGCTGGCTGCCCATGGACACTGCAGGCCTGTCTGCCTTGCACAGACTGTGACTTGGAAGTGGCTGCCAATTCTTCTGGCCCAATGAAGAAAGGAGCTTGGGATCCAGGGGGCCAGGACAGGCTTGTGGGGGTTCAGGAGAAGCCTTCTTGTTCGACATCGGAGGTCAGCTGGAGGTCTGTCTGGGAACTGACGATGTGGTCACTGCCGGGCCACAGCACATCGTCTCTGAGGGGCCCTGCTCCACCAGTGGAATCTGTCAGGCCAGAACGTTGGAGGGGAAGCCGTGCCCAAGGCTTTGTTCATAACCCACTTTTCATTTCTAAACCTTTTTTGTCACTTCAGTGTGTCAATTAAACCATATCTTCTATTGTGCCCTCCTTGCATTGGAAACCAGTTTCTCACTCCAGAGTCGGAAATGCCTGAGGCTGTTGGTTCTGCACTTGTTCAGGACTCACCGGCTGCTCAGGTGGGGTACAGGAGTGAGTCTGCTGTCGGACCTTCGATCTTGTGATGGCCCCATACTGGTTGCCCTCTTGGTGAAATGCGATTGAGCACACAGATGAAAAACTTGTGGGCATCACCTTTTTCCCCCGAGTGTGTCACGGAGGGAAGCAGAACAGCGCAGTCTCTTGGTCATACATGTTATGGCCATTCCTCTGCATAATAAATCCTTTCTGGCTTTTTTAACAGCTATGGCTGTTAAGAGAACAGGACCAGCAAATCCTGTCTGCTCTCTGCTGTCCCCTCTGATGGCCTCCACGGGGGAAGGGAACTAGTGCTAACTTCTGAGGACACAGACACAGGCAGATGGGGGTGGAGCTGGGGCACAGCCAAGCTGTGTCTGGGGCAGGGGGCTCTAGGAAAGCTCTTTGCTGGGCCCTACATCCCCTCACACAAGCAGGCTGTGGTGCCCTGTCCACTGGAGGCCACACTGCAGCTGCCTAGCTGACTGTGCAGCATCCATGGCAATGGGAACTGATGGAAAGAGCCACACGTCCTGTGGTTCTTGCACTGCCTATAAGATCTCCTGATGTAGGAACAGACAACCCAGACCTGGCCATGAATGCCATTTGCAGTGAACCAAGATGCAGGATCTCTCCCTGCAACTCTTTAAAATAGACAAATCTTGTAAAACTCTCAAGTGAAAACTCATGCAGCTCAAGTCGAGGTTGGCAAGTTAGGCTGGAATCTCAGTGTCTGGGAGCACAAAGCCACCACAGCCTCCACAGAAACAGGATTGTTTCCTGCCCTAAATTCCCAGCCAACTTTGACAGCACAGTGAGGATGGTTTCAGGGGGTCTCACTTGTCAGTGATGGACATAGGAGGGGCAAGCAGAAGTGCTGGGGGATGCCAGGGCAGGTGGAGGGGGGTCCCTGAAGCTGCAGCAGCAGTAATACCCCCAAATCTGGGATGGGGTGCCACTAGGGAGCAGTGTAGACCCAGCTGAGCATACAGAGGGGAGATTAAGTGCCTCTAACAGGCGGGGGTGGGGGGGTGGGGTGTACCTCCAAAACCAACCAGACCCTGGCCACATTTTGCACTGTGCCCCGGTGGGTGGCAGGGCATGTCTGACATGCCAGCTTTTCCTGGCATAAGGAAATGGTCCTCATTGCCACAGGCTAGTTGACTGGTGCCAGTGTTCCTAAAAGCTGTTCAGCAAATCCGATTAACGTTCTGTTTTATCCCTCAAAAGGGAACTGTGCCAGACAGGTGAGAGCTTTGTCGAAAGTCAGCATTACCCCTACATGGCTTACAAAGTCATGGATTTCATGAGGTAGATTTTAAAGACACCCTCTGTCACTCAGTAGGGCCGGTACCACTGTAAAAACAAACACTGGAGAAACAAAGAAGGTGAGCAGCCAACTTTAGAAAGCAGGAGCAGAGGTTGGCAAAATAGGACAAAAAGCTTCTTTAATTCCCTTCAGTATTTACAACAGTGTACAGGACAGTATCCTATGCATTTGAGGAAACCAAGTATCGATGTTCTGACTGAATTTGTTTTTAGAATCTTAGTTTCTGTACCTAAGACCTCAACTACACCAATGAAAATACCCTGTGCAGCAAAGCTTCAGTTTGAAAACTTACAGTGTCAGTTCCAGGTCCCAGTTTCCCCCCGCTCATTCCTTACGTTAAAGCAATAAGCATTTTAATTCCAATTTCAGCTCAAAAGTTTTACCAATAAAATAATTATCTTAGTTACAACTACTTAGGACAATTTTGTAGTCTTAAAAAGCAAATTCAGAAAAATTGGAAATTACTTAGAAAGGCACTGACATTAGCAAAAGCATTGTTACAGTTTTTCACCTTGTGTGGATGAGCTAGCTATCGCTGGGCCTCGAGGCTCAGCTGTCAGTGTTGACTTCTGCTTCAGCCCCGTCTCCCATGCCTGCAACGCACTGCTCTGCCACACAGAGATCCTGACAAGGTGGGACACATGAGGGGCCATCTGCGACATGCCAGTTTATGCACAGGGATCCTCAGCCTGATCTTCAACACACTGTGAGCCCAGGAGCTGGTACATGCTGGCTCACTACTCACTGGCTGGAAGGCTTCCGTTTTCTGAATGGTGACTGCAGCAATAACCAGGGCATCCTGGCTGGCTGAAGGGAGAGCCCAGGAAATCCGAGCCAGCAGTTCAGTTCTGCCAGTTCCTCCTCCCTTGCTCGCTTTTCTGTCATTCCTAACCCAGGCACTGCTACCCAGTGGTCTCTGTGTTCGGCATGTTGACATTTTCTAGGAAGTGTAAATTTTCCAAAGAACATTGGTGTTTTCTAAAGTTCTTGTACCCTCAAGGCAAGGATGGATAAATTACTCAGAATATCTTTTAACGAAATTTTACCAATGAAATACACCACCCTCACTTCTTTGGAAATGATGGAACTGGGTGCTGCCCAGACCTAAGGGGTGGCGAGCTGGGCCACTTGTGCCATCCTACAGAAGTGGCTCCTGTGGGCAGGGCTGTAGCGCCCCAGGCTGGGCGAGTGGGTGGTGTGGCCAGGCTTCACAGGGCTTCTCCCAGGACTGTTGCTGGGTGGATCAGACAGCTGAGACTTGAACTTCCCCTTTAGAACAGGGCTTGGCCAGCTGTGGAAGAAAGGCATGTTAGCCACGCGTGCGTCTGGCAGTGACCCTCCAGAGAGCCCCAGGTAGGGCCGCTGTGGCTCAGAGAGGCTTCTAAACCCCAAACTTGAGCTATGGAAAAGTTCAAACTCAAATGGGGACATCTGGGAAACCACAGCCCGTGTCAGAGTGCCCAAGTTCAGGTCTTGGCTCCACTCTGACTCAGCCGCCTGAGTCCCTGCCTCCATGCAGGAGTCCTGACATGAGTTCCTGGCTGGTGGGTATCTAAATGGGGAATTTGCAAAAGGGACCCCTGCATCTTTATCTGCTTCTCAAACAAATGGGCTGGCATAGATCTCCCACAGGACCCCAGATGGAAGCCCTGGCCTGCATTTCCACCCAGTTGGGGATCTCTGCTGTGCTATGGCCATGACCCTGAGGACCAGACCAGCTTCTGGGGAGCTCTTCGTTAGAGGACATGAGACTGTGTAGGAGTGAGAACTGGCCCTTCTCAGTCATGTTCCCATCCCCGTACCTCTGCCTGTCGGAAGGTGAGTAGCCCAGGACAGCACTCTTCCATTTGTGCACGGCTGGGTACCACCGAGGGTCCACATCTGTGCATTCCAGAGCTGCCAGAACATCCCGGTCCAGCTTGGACGGCATCTCCCTAGAATGCACATGGTCAAGGTAAAGCATGTCTCACTAGAAGCTGGGACTTCAGCCAGCGACAGAAACCTCCCATCTGGGGGTCTACCCCCTCCACGGTCGGGCTGGCAGGAGCCCGAGTACTAGAGCTCTCCCAGGCACATTAACCAAGCAGCCAGACTAGAACCAGAGCTGCAACATGGGCCCCAACAGCCCCACAGGCCGTGCAAGGATCAAAGTGATTTAAGAAGACAAGCAACTGCTGGCCAGTGACTGCCTGTCTGCAGAGGGAGTTACTGTGGGACCAGCCAGGGGGATGGCTGAGGACAGCTGTCTTAGGCGAGTGCAGGAGAGGCAAGAAGGGCTGATCATGGCACATCCAGCTCTCAACTGCAGTGCTGCAAAGCCAGGAATTTCCACGATCGGGAATAGGAATTCAGACAATGAAATTCCCACGACCAACACAGTTACTGCTCTGTGGGAGCAGAGCAGGCACACTCATGAGAGGGAGGATGCAAGGGGGAACCTCAAATGAGCTACCTACCCAAAGAGGAAGAGCCTGGAGTCAGGGGAGGAGCTGGCTGGACACCTGCCCTGGGCCTTGTGTGGGGGGCTGCTGGGCTCTAGGGGCAGCTCAGCAACTCCAGCCGACATTTCCTGCTCCATGTCTCTGTGGTTCTTTTTGAGCCTGTGAGCAGCAGGTGGAGATGGTAGCAAGTCACATTCTGCCGTGTCCATCCTGGGAGTTGGCATCTTGTTATCCTTGGTTTCCACGTATTTTTCAGGTGTCTTGGAAAAGCTGCCTTCTGGACTTTGCAAGTTCAGCTTATTGAAGTCCACAGTCAGCTCAGAGAGAGGTGACAGGAGGTCTTCTCCTGCATGGGAGGCCTTTGGTCTGCTGCCCCCTGGGTCCTTGCTGGGACTAAGGAACCCGTTTCTGCTGCTGGCGCCTCTGCTAGGGCCCAAGGCTTCTGTCAAGGCCACATTCTGCTCCAAGGAAAGGGGGCCACATGAGTCTCCCCAGGCACAGACTGTAAGCTGGCCCAGGTTTCGAGCTGCATTTTGCTGATTCTTCATTTCTTCCAAGCTCATATCCTCTTCATCTAGAAATGCCCCCACAGAGACGGAATTGCTGCCCTTTGCCCTGTCTACAAGAAGAAAGGAGGGCTTAGGCATGACAGGAAGCCTTACTCCGAGCTGCAGGACCCAAGCACCCTACAGCTCTTTACTCAAAGCCTCAGTCGACAGAACACAGACCACCCGCTTCACTCCCAAAAAAGGCAGGCAGAACACTGCATGGCGAAGAACAGCTGTGGGCCAAGCATCCCACATGGTGGGGTGAATCGCACCTTCTCCCCTCTCCCACTCTGACCAGTGGATCCTGAGCCAGGCTGATGTGTTCCAGATGCAGAACTGGCCCCCTCAAGTCTACAACAGAATCAGAAGCAGCCCTGGGGGCGGCCCTGTCCTCACACAGGTGTGACATTCACCACCCTCCCCTTCCACAGCCCCTTGGTGTGACTCGGAGTGAACTGACATGAACCTTGACTCATCAGCCCTGTCCCATGGCTCAGCCTCTGCAGTGTTCTGCCTGTGCTGCCAACCCCAAGGACACCAGGGTCACACACCTGTCAGCTAAACATCTTTACGGCAGTGGCACTATGGTGTAGCAGGCTAAGGCTCCCAACTGGAGTCCCAGGATCCCAGATGGCACCAGTTCAACTTCCTGGCTTCTCTACTTCCAATCCAACCTTCCACTGATGGCCCAAGTGCTAGGGCCCATGCACCCACTTGGGAGACCTGGATGGAGCTGCTGGCTCCAGTGCGGCCATCTGGATAGTGATCCAGCACAGACACTATTTCTTTCCTTCAATTCTTTCAAAATAAATGAATAAATCTTACTAAAGAAAGAATAGGGCCTGGCATGGTAACCTAGCAGCTAAAGTCCTTGCTTGAGTGCACTGGGATCCTATATGGATGCCGGTTCTAATCTTGACGGCCCCTTCACTTCCCATCCAGCTTTCTGCTTGTGGTCTGGGAAAGCTGTTGGGGACAGCCCAAAGCATTGGGACCCTGCACCCGGGTGGGAGACCTGGAAGAGACTCCTGGCTTCGGATTGGCTCAGCCCTGGCTGTTGCGGCATGAATCAGCAGATGGATCTTTCTCCTTCTCTCTGTATATCTGACTTTGCAATAAAATAAATAAATCTAAGAAAAATAAAAATAAGAAAAGTGTCTCTTACTGCCAGTAAGGTGCTTGTTTCTCTGTCCCCTGGAGAACATCTCCATTACCTATATCACTCTTGGGGCGTATTTCCATACTTTTTGTTTTTAAAGATTTATTTTTATTGCAAAGTCAGATATACAGAGAGGAAGACAGATGAAGATCTTCCATCTCATGATTCACTCCCCAAGTGACCACAATGGTCAGTGCTGCGCCAGTCCAAAGCCAGGAGCCAGGAACCTCCTCCAGGTCTCCCATGCAGGTGCAGTGTTTCTAGGCCTTAGGCTGTCCTCCACTGCTTTCTCAGGCCACGAGCAGGGATCTGGATGGGAAGCAGGGCTGCCAGATTAGAACCGGTGCCCATATGGGATCCTAGCTCGTTCAAAGCAAGGACTTAAGCTGCTAGACCACCGCGCCAGGCCCACATTTCCACACTTTGAAAGCACTGTCCTGTCTAGGTTTTTTCAGTCAACCACAGCCTTTCCTTTCACTGCTGTTGCGGTGTGTGCTCTGGATGGGATACGTATACCCTGGAGCTCTGCCAGGGGCCTGCCTGGCTGTTTAACTGCAAACATGCATCACACACAAACCCAATAAGAAGAATTAGGTCTGAAATGTTACAGGCCAAATCTCACCAGTGCCCCATGGGATGCCACCACACAAGGGAGGCTTCACCACCACACCACAGCACCAGCCCCTTGGATGGTGCAGGCTGTCAGTCCAGTACAACGTGTGTGCATGGGGGAAAAGGGGTGCACGATACACTTTGAACAGGAGTCCGTGTCATGTGAAAACTACGATGCTGAAAGAGGTCTGGAGGTCTCCTGTTGGAGTAGTCCCACTGGGCTAGCATGGCCACAGCCCTAGCCACAGCACTCACCAGATGCCAGGGTCCTGTCCCCCAGGTAGGCTTCCTTTTCTGCTGTTTCTTGTGGAGCATTTTTGCCCAATTCCTGCTGAGCAAGATAATCTTCTAGTCTTTGCAGTCCCTCCTGGGAAGACAGATCAACAAAACAGCCCAGAAATTCCCAGTATTCAACCCAGGGATACCCCAGCTCATGAGCTAGCTCCCTGTAAGAAAACACAATTAGAACAAACACTCAAGGACAGCACAGAAAATGGCCACGGCTACTTCACGCTCAAGCAACACTGGAACTCTCAGTTCTAATTCTACTTTCATTGGCACATAGTTGTATAACCTTATTTCACCCGAAATGTGTTTTCTGAATCGGTGTTTCCCTAACAGGATCGGCCCAACAGTCTACCCTGAGACCGGTTTTGTGATAGATTCAGTCAGTCAGTCAGCCCTGACATCCTCACTCCAATAAATGTGTGAGCTGAAAGGTCACACACACAAATTCCACCAAGAGCATGCTCTGATGAAACAGCTGTAGATGATGTTGCCTCTGACGCTGGTGTTGGCCACGCCCTTCTCAGGTTTAGTTCCAAGACCTGAAACTGGGTATGTCCCCTGACAGCTTCTGAAAGCACTGCGAAGCTGCACTGTATGGCCCTGCGTTTGTGAGCTCTTTCTGACCAGCTATGTTTAGTCACACTTGCCTCTAAGCCACCAAGAGAAGGGGGGATCTTAGTAGTCTGTTTCCTTGGGAAAACAGCCATATTGCAATACCTCGCTCCTGACAATAAGCCCCTCGGGAATGATCAGGGAAGGGCCTGTTCAGCTTGGGATTCTGCATCGCACACTGCACAGTAACCTCTATGAGGAATTGGATCCTAAGCGAAGGGCCCTGGCTCTCCCAGTAATGCTTCCTAGGTTTGTTATTTTGAACAAAGCTGTAATTTGGGTTCCACCTTCAAATAAACACAGCCACACAGCCACTGCACACTAGGTGGGCGATGTCCCCGTAAGTACCTGCCCACTCTTTCAATGCCTCTCTCTGGGTCAGATTTTCTGACGCTGTGAAAAAAACCTGCTTTCTCTCGTGGTGGAGTCTTCCAGAGTCTGCGAAAATCTTCTGCCTGGGAAAACAAAGTGTAGCACATATTGCACACACTCCTCCAGCCTCCCCTTTCCGCCCCAGGCAGTGTCTCATGCCTGCCTGGCCCAGGAAGGGAGTGGCTCTTCTCAGGTTTGAGGGTCACATCTGGCCCAGGAGGGCACCACTCGAGGGGTGGCCTTGGAGCTGACAGGCAGCACTGGACGTCTTCCTCCACAGCACACACAGCAGCCACTCGTGCACTCACCCTAACTCAGCGCAAGTCTTATTTTACAGTGGCAAGTATTTGGAAAGTTTCTGTCATGAGATTACAAGCAAATCAGTGCATAGAATAGTTCAGCTGCATAAATTGTTACCTGGAAAGGCAGCATTAAGAGTGTGGGTAAATGGGCCTGGCACTGTGGCCTAGCAGCTTAAGTCCTCACCCTGAACACCCAGGATCCCATATGGGCATAGGTTCTAATCCTGGCAGCTCCACTTCCCAACCAGCTTCCTGCTTGTGGCCTGGGAAAGCTAGTCGAGGATGTCCCAAAGCCTTGGGACCCTGTACCCACGTGGGAGACCTAGAGGAGGTTCCTGGCTCCTGGCTTCGGACTAGCGCAGCTACGGCCATTGTAGTCACTTGGGGAGTCAATCATCGGACAGAAGATATTTCTGTCTTTCCTCCTCTCTATATATCTAACTTTGCAATGAAAATAAATACATCTGTAAAAAAAAACCGTGGGTAACGGTGGACTCCACCACTCAGTATGATGGGTTCTTGCTGAGACATGGGTAAAAGGGAAACACCTTGCACAGGGAGAAGCAACCAGAGGAGCCCAGGGAATGGGGGAAATGTAGAGAACCCCGATACTGGCAAGGTGCTCAGGGAAGGGCCTATGGACTCTCAGCATACCTTCTCCAGCTAACCCAATAGCAGCATGGCCAGCAACAAACATTTCTTAAGCAGATGTGCCCATCCCATCCCTGGTCACCAACTCACTGGTCGCTTTGCTGCCTTCAGGTTTCCCGACTTGGGTCTCTACTAAGCACAAATCAACAGGCTGGATGACAGCAGGACAGTGTGGGGACAGGCAGGAACTGCTTTCAGAAGCCTCCCTAGCAGCTCACCTTGGATGGACTCATGGGCCCAGCAAAAGCTCTCAGGGTCAGCACAGGGTCCCGGGGGCCACCTCCTGAGTGACCATGGTGAGAGGTTGCAGCTGTCTGGTCTGATGCCCACGGCTCTCCAATGACGGGTGAGGATGTGTCTTCTGCTCTCAATAGCGGTACGTAATAGTGACCTGGGGGGGGGACATGGGGTCAGCTCCAGCCCAGCAGTGTGCCAGGTCTGCAGGGTGGTATGAGAAGGGTAGAGGTGGACTCTGCAAACAGATGGCATGGGCATAAACCACCATGGGTCCTGGAAATGCAGGCTCAAAGCAAGACTGCCTCAAAGTAGCACTTTCTTAAGTCAACCAGCCCTGCTTTCTTCCTTTGCTGAACAAGAAAGAATAGAAGGGGAGAGGGATTGGTGGATGTCAGCATCCCCAGGTGTTTAAATGAGGCTAAACCAGTGACAACAGCAGTGTGCTTCAGGGGCTACTTCCCCTCAGTGACAGGAAGCCTCCTCAGAGGTGAGTCAGGCACATACAGAGAGCTTCATCTGATTATTGTCACAGAGTTCCTCTTAATGTTGACATGTCCCAGCAGGCCTGACAGGGTGGGCTGAGACCCACAGAGCAGAGCAGTCTGTCTGTCCAGGCAATACATCTGTATGTCTCTAGGTCTCACCTCTGCTCACAGCACCCTCGGGTCCATTTCCTTCCTGAGCACTGCAGTCCATTCAGGCAAGAGTCTCACGGGTTTAAGAGGAGACCAGAGCTTTCCCCAGCGACAAGGCAGGCTGGGAGAGTGCAGACATCAGATGGCAAGGGGTGGCCTCGAACTTACTGTGTCTGCTGTTGGCCACGAGCTCACTCAGTAGCAAAGAAAGGGGGAAGCCCACCCACAACCAGCCACCCTACAGGCCTGGCGACTCCTATCCTCTGTGGGAAGAGAAGTCCCAACACACAGTGAGTGTAGTAAAGGGCTGCACCTGGAAACAGAGGTAAAACTGACAGACCCCGAGACTAGGAGACCTGCACTGCCTGAGAAGGCATGGCCACTGGGGCCACTCCATCCCAGAAATGGGTATTATTGGGGTGGGGGTGGGAGAAGGAGCCATGAGCACTAGTCAAATGACAAAACCTGAAGGTTCTCTCAAAACCAGCCAATAGCAAAGAAGGAATCAAAGAGGGAAAGCTGCCCCAAGGAGGTGCTAGGTCTCACATCCCACACACCAATGCCCTCACTCACCCTGCAAGTATTCTTTGATCCGCTCCTTCAGCTCCATGGATTTATTTTTGCTTCTTTCACAAATAACCTATTCAAACCAAACAGATCAAATGAACAGTCTAAATCTTAATCTATCCTATCATGGTGATTTTACAAAAAACAAGTTTTCAAGTCGACAAAATATCCTAGCAGCTTTGTGCTACTTTATATCAGAGCATGAGCTAAGCAGGTGTCTGCAGCTAAGAGGTTCCTACACTGGGACTGAGGGGGGGTGGGGGGGGTCCTTGTTGGGGGAACTCCCTGGGCTTGCTTCCTTTCGTACTCCTGCACTTAGGAATGGGCACTGAGACACATCCCAATACGTGAGGGCAGAGTGCACGGCACATCCATGCCTGCCTGTATGTCCACTGCCTGAGAGCCTGCTCTGTGCATCTGTGTGGCCTAAATCTACCACAGAACTCACAGATGTATCATGTCTGTGGCTGCAGGCATCAGGCCCTGAGCCCTCGGGTAACTGTGACCCTCTCATGACATCCTGCGTGAAGAGGGACCTAGGAGACAGACTGACACTTTGAGTGCAAATGAACATAACTGTCTGGGAGGCAAAGTCAAAGATCTTAAAGGGCTGGGAGTGTAAAGTGGGTTACTTGCAACAACAGGCCCATACAGCGAAGTCACATTTTGCATATGTCTTGCCAGATAATCTTGGTTGTACAATTTCCTGGCAAATTTTATCCAAAGGGGCAGGGGGTCCAGGCCAGCCAAAAGCTGCAAGTGGTGGTACAAGTCACTCCTATCTTCCAGCTCTTAGGGTCCCAGCCGCATGTGTCACTCCCTAGGTACATGTGCCTGGGCCACCTTGAGAGCTCACACGGCTCTGGCCTCACAGGCAGGAGAGACTTCCAGGAGTTTGTAGGGAAAAAACAGAAGTAAAAGACATTTATTTTGATGCAAAAATGTTGAAACTAGGCATAGCTGCTCTGAACATTTTTCAAGATCGATTCACTAGGCAGAGTGACATACAGAGAGAAACACATACACAGATCCTTCATCCGCTGGCTCATTTCAACAGAGATGAGATGACTGGGGCCATTCCAGGCTGAAGCCAGATGCCAGGAGCCAGGAACTGCCTAACTAGGTTTCCCATCAAGGTGGCAGGAACCAAAAGACTTGGGCCACATCCACTGCCCCCAGATGCAACAGCAGAGAGCTGGAATGGAAGCCAAGTAGCTATAACTTGGAGCAGTTGGGCCCGGAGCCGTGGCGCAAGTGGTTAAAGGTCCTCGCCTTGCACGCCCGGGATCCCATATGGGCGCCGGTTCTAATCCCGGCAGCCCCGCTTCCCTTCCAGCTCCCTGCCTGTGGCCTGGGAAAGCAGTCGAGGACGGCCCAAAGCTTTGGGAACCTGCACCTGCGTGGGAGACCCGGAGGAGGCTCCTGGCTTCGGATCGGCATAGTATCGGCCCGTTGCGCTCACTTGGGGAGTGAATCATCGGACGGAAGATCTTCCTCTCTGTCTTTCCTCTTTGTATATCCGCCTTTCCAATGGAAAAATAATAAAAATAAATCTTTAAAAAAAAAAAAAATAACTTGGAGCAGTCACTATAGTGTGGGATCTGGACTCCAAGTGCCAGCTTAGTCTGCTGTGAATCAAATCATATACATCTTCCATGGACTCCTCACATAGGGCAGGTGAAAAATCTGTGAGGTCTCAGCACTGCACCAGGTACAAGGGCTAAACACAAATCAGCAGTTCCAGCATTACTGTCAGTACCACCACTACTAGTACCACTCTTACCTCCTCTGTGAGCCTGGGAACTTGATGAAAAACTAACTACCTATCACCAGAAAGCAGCATCTACAAACCAGGTGCTTTTTGGCCCTGGCTCTGTGATGCCGCACTCCTCAAGGTCCTTGGACACATGACTCTCATCCAGTTCCCCGTCACTCCAACAGAGTTGTGCTGCATGTGGTTCTGTTAATGCTACACAGCAACTGCATGTTCATAATTACTTACCTCTTCAGGTGTCTTATTGTATTTATTCCTCATGTTTTTTACAATCAAAGGGTGTGAAGAAAGCACGTTGACCACATCTGCATTTCCAAACTTACAAGCAAAATGTAACGGTGTGTCATAGCCCTGTGAAAGGTGTGGAAGAGGCACTGAGATCCGCAGGACACCCTTGCTGAACATGACACACCACCTCATGCTGCCTAAATCCTTGGGACCCTCCTCGGGGAGACCCAGAAGCAGCTCCTGGCCTCACACTGTTAGAGCCATTGGCTGGAGGATCATCATGCCAGCCCCAGGAGAGATCTTTTACCACTGTTACTCATCTAACTCAACATCAGTACCCTCTGCAACATTTAATTTTTTCCTAGGACGTATTTATTTGAAAGGCAGTATGATAAGAAGTGAAGGAGAAAGGGCCCAGCATGGTAGCCCAGAGGTTAAAGTTTTCATCCTGCATGTGCCAGGATCCCATATGGGCCCTGCTTCCCATCCAGGATCCCATATGGGCCCTGCTTGTGGCCTGGGAAAGCAGTCGAGGACAGTCCAAAGTGAAGGACTGGGACCCTGCACCCACGTGGGAGACCTGGAAGAAGCTCCTGGCTCCTGGCTTCAGAAGTGCTCAGCTCTAGCTGTTGCAGCCATTTGGGGAGTGAATCAACGGATGGAAGGATTTCCTCTCTGTCTCTCCTCTACATACATCTGACTTTGCAATAAAAATAAATAAATCTTAAAAAAAAAAAAAAAAAAAAAGAAGCAAGGGAGACAGAGATCTTTCATCCAGTGTTTCATTCCTCTAATGCGCACCAGCAGCCAGGAACGAGAACCTCCACCTGGGTCTCCCATCTGGGTGGCAGGGACCCATATACTTGGGGCATTATGTGCTGTCTTCCCAGCAGGAAGCTGCATCAGAAGCAGCCAAGTGGGATGCAGGTATCACAAGCAAGGGCAGCTCAACCCATGACGCTACAACATGCCCCAAGAACATCCTCTATTACAGACAGATCAATCTGTCAGAAAGAGACACACGGGTGGTTGGTGCATTTGTGGGACTGAGCCCTGGACCTGGAGGTGACACCTCCTCCAGGAGATGAGCCTGCTGCAGGACTGTGTGCATGGTGTGGAACATCTAAGGCCATGACGGGTGGAGGATACTTCTGACTTCTCAATGTCCTTAGGTCACTGGTCTCCTTTGGCCATTTCCTATGACTGTGCTGGCATAGCCAATCTGTTTATTTTTTTTTTTTTGTCTTGTTGAAGTTACTCCACTTTTCAATTCTGCAATTCAATGTAATGTATTCACTGCACCCTTAAATAAAGCAACAGTGCCCCGACTTAAGAAGTACAATGAGACTCGCAAGACACCCAGCATGTCTTGCAACTTCACTCCCTCCAGCACCCAGGTTGCCAAATCCATCAGCTCTGGGTTGCCCCTGAACTTTCCCTCATATAAAATACACACATCATCTCAGAAAGAGTTCTTATATGATGTGACCACTAAACACAAGATATTAAAATTAATCCCATAGGGAATAGTCCAATGAAATGCTCAGTGGAAAACACAAATGACAAACATAAAATGCTACAGTAAAAGGCCTCAAACTATTTTTACTTCCTTTTCTGCATTTCTGCCACCTGTTCAACCTCTGGTTAAAGCCCAAGAGTGAAGGCTCCGGAGCATCTATTCTCCGTGAGAGCAGCCAGGTGCCCCTGGCCAGCGGGATCCACTTGGTGGATTCTCACTCAACACCTTTGTAATATACTCAAAGAGGGTGCTCAGCACACTAAGACCCACAGGGCATGAAACGCTCAGTAATGCCAGGCACATAGACTTTCAGTACAATATCAGTTTCTACCCTTACTCATCAAAATCAGACACACGAAGGAGACGCACCATCTTGTCAGGAGTGTTCAGATAAAGATCAACAATGTAGTGGATGCGCTTCTGAAGCATGCCCAGGTCGTCATCTGGGTACATGAGCCGCATGAACTCTGGGTTTTCCAGGGTCTCCAGGGTCAGCTGGCAGATGGAAGCCTGGTTCTCCTTGGCAGCAACATGCATGACATTGTACCTACATCCTTCCTGGAAGAAACAGCATGTCCTGAGCTTCCTCTGTGTGACACTACCTGCTCGTGGAGCACTGACAGCATCAAAAGCAAACTCACCTGGACAATGGTGGGATTGTCCCCTGAGCCAATCAGATACCGTGGGTTACTCCAGATAAGCTCAGAGAACACATTCTCTTCTCCCTTCTCCACAGCCTTTCGCAGCTTGGCAGTGAGGTCCTGCGTGCGGGGGGTTTTGTAGCTGTTGGCCCGCTCTTTGTTCACTACATCTGATTCACTCAAACACAAACTTCCTGCTGGGGAGACACAATGCCATTCCACACACTGCCAGTGCCACGCTGAAGGCGTTAAGAAGCCTCCCACCTGGACCATGAGCCATCTAGGAGACCAGTCAGTAGCCACCCAGGCCCTGCCATTGGCACAGCACAGAGCATCCAGACCAGACTGGAGTTCAGCAGGAAGGGATCACTGGGTGAACCTGAAGGGAGGTCAGAGTCCAGAGGTTGCGGGGGAGAGGGAGCACAGGCAACGACGGCACAGCAGCATCATCAGTCACACCAGAACCATTATGTCCACAGCATGTCAGTGTGGGCAAGCCACCCACAGGATTCCCATTGTTGCTGTTGCTAAAGCCTTATTTATTTCAAAAGTTGGGCTAATCCTCAGCCTGTGGTGCCAGGATCTCATTTGGGCACTGGTTCAAGTCCTGGCTATTTCACTTCTGATAGTGCAAGTACTATATGGGAGACCTGAAGGAAGCTCCTGGTTCCTGACCAGCCCAACTATGGCTATTGTCTTGGTTTCTCCTTCTCTCTCTGCCTTTAAAAAAAAAATGCAGCTTAACATACCACACAAGACGGCCCCAACTCCAATCATAGCACCCGAGAAGGCCTAAAAATGTTTTCCTCCAGGGAATTTCCACAGACTGAGAAGAAAATATCAAACTGCATCTAGTTTGCATTCAGGAAGCAGCTGAGTAAGGTTGGGTTGGACAGCAGGGAAGCAAGGTGAACACACCCTTTGACGAGAGCTCAATGCCCAGAAGGAACTGTCCCTCTGGAAGCCCACCAGCTTGGGCAGCACAGCCGTGAGCTAAGGCAGGGGACAGAAGGCTGAGGCCTCCCACTAGGCCCTAGCTCTGAGTTGTAGAAAGGTGCAGTTTGATTTCTGGCTGAATGACTCCCACAGGGCGCCTGGCTTTGCAGCTTCCTGTTCCAGAAGCAGCCGTGGCCCCCATGGGCCAGGATATCAGTAAGGGACCCAGACCGTAACACACACAAGGCAAACACGTGGACTTCTGTGACCACGTCTGCCTTTCTGATCTGAAACAGCCAAACTAGGCTGACTCCTTCCTCCTCTCCTGACACACAGCACTTTTCTCACACACAGCAGTCAGGCTGCTTTACCTTTGAGTCCACCATTGTTGAGGCCTGCTGCACTCCTCGGAGGAGAAGGTGGGAATGAGGCTTTGCTTGGGGAAGGGAAGTAATCACAAATTCCTCTAGCAAATCTCTCAGCATCTTCTCTGGTGGAAAAAGCTTTGAATCGGGAACCTTTGATCATTTTAACAGCTTGCAATGCTTCCTTTTTATCATCATAAACATGGATCCGGTCTGCATGGGAAAAGCAACAAAAGGAGATTAGGAAGTATCTTCTGCACCTGGTCTACCTGGCCCACTCGCTCATGTGAGTGTGGACAAGAGTACAGAGTCCACTGCTTTACCTGCAAAAGAACCTTAGTCACGTATGTGTATAAAAACACCATGTGCATATATAGACATTCCAAGTCCTGAGATACTATACACATTAAAAATTAATTCCAGATGGACTAAAGATTTAAATAATGATCTGTGGAAATACCAGCAAACATTAAGGGACAAGAGTTGTGGTCCAGTGGGTTAAGGCACCACTTGGGACACCCACAGGTCTAGTCCCAGCTGTTCCAGTCTGGATCCAGCTCCTTGCTAACACTCCTGGGAAGGCAGTGGACAACAGCAAGTACACAGGTCCCTATATGGCTTTAGTAGAAAGCCTGATGTTGTAGGCCGATGGAAAGAAACATGTTTTAAAAATATTCTCCTTCTTGGGCCCGGCGCGGTGGCGCAGTGGTGAAGGTCCTCGCCTTGCATGCCCGGGATCCCATATGGGCGCCGGTTCTATACCGGCTGCCCCGCTTCCCATCCAGCTCCCTGCCTGTGGCCCGGGAAAGCAGTCGAGGACGGCCCAAAGCCTTGGGACCCTGCACCTGCGTGGGAGACCCGGAAGAGGCTCCTGGCTTCGGATCGGCATAGCATTGGCCGTTGCGGCTCACTTGGGGAGTGAATCATCGGACGGAAGATCTTCCTCTCTGTCTCTCCTCTCTGTATATCTGCCTTTCCAATAAAAAAATAATAAAAATAAATCTTTAAAAAAAAATATTCTCCTTCTTAATCAGTACTTATCAGTTTTCAAGACAATCCTCCTTCCCGCTGTCCTGTGGCACCCGTGCGCCATGGCCACATTACCGTTTCTCACAGGAAGGTCCTCATACGAAGGGCAGACTCCATAGTACTGCTGCGGCTCCTTGGTAGCTGTCATGCCAGCTCTGTGGGTGCTGACATGGGTTGCAGCACAGAAGGGCACTGGGCAGTTCTTGGATGGCACAACCTCCTCCGGGGGAGGATTCAAGCCCACATCATAACCGAACTCTCTGTCTTCAGGAAGGCTGGCCTGCTCATCTGGAATTCCCACAGCAGACTTCCGTGTTTCTTGTCTGAGTGTCATGCCATCTGCTTCCTGGCAGCTGGGGAAAGAGGAAGACAGCAACCCTTCCTGCTTGAGCAAGGCCTGAGCCAGCTTCTTCTCAAAAATGAACCTTGTGGTTGATGTGATGGGTCCACACGTCAGTCCAGCTTTGACAATCTCCTCTCTCAGGGCATCTGGGTTCAGGAGTTTCAGCCGCGCCAACACAGCATCCATGGTCATTCGTCCTGGGTCTAAGGGAACAGACATCAAGCTGCAGGCTGTGAAGCCGGCACACCCGCAGTCACCTGCACAGATCCAGGACAAGCAGTCTCTGGGTGCTCTGAGAACCTGGTGTCCTCACTCTAGTGTGTTGCCATCACTTTACGTGCACTCACTTGGAGCAGGTCACTCCACAGCTGGCAAAGTACTAACTCTAGAGACCTGTGCTATAGGGACAGCTGAACTTTTCTGTCACTGGTACACCGTGCGGTACCAATGCTTCCAGAGTCATCTGAGAGCCTCATACAGCTCAAAGCACTCATGCACGGCAGCCCTGTGGCCAAGAGGCACAGCAACCCCAATGCAGATGGAACCCTGAGGATAAGTGGCACACGCATAGCTTGGTCAAGTCTGACCACAACCAGGGTTTCGGGGAGGGAGCTTTCCTCTGCCAGGGCTGAGTATTTAAGCATCCTGAAGTTAACAGGTTAAAAATTAGCCTACCACAGACTCACTGAATTTCAAGTCCCAGATGAAGTCATATTGGCAAGGTCAAACCAAATGATTTTACGGGTCTTATATGGGGTCCCCCATGCCTGCTTGCTGGGCTGTGTGGCAGCTGGACTCAGGGGAGTTAGGAGAGACAGGCACAGCAACAGGAGGCCCCAGTGACAGGTCACTCAGATGACCGACCGAAGATGAAGCAGAGAGCATGGTAACCTACTTCTCTTGATGCCTGGAGGCAGAATGGAAGGAGGCAATTCTCTTCCTCAGTCACAGTAAGGCCACCCAACAAGCCCCTGCCACACAGAGATGGAGCAGCTGGGATTAGAACTAGTGTCCCTATTGGATGCTGATGCTGCCAGGCATGACCCACACTGGGGCCCTGCAGTCAGTGTTGAGATCGAACAGGGACAGATGAATAGGCTAGTTAGTCAGCTGCTGCCTGGGACACCCGGGAACCCATACTGGAGTCCTGGGTTCAAGTCCCAGCTTCCTTCCAGTTCAGTCTCTTGCCTCTTCACACCATGGGAGGCAGCAAGCAGGCTCAAGCACTGGAGTCCCTGTGGTTCATGGGGAGGCTTGGCTCAGCCCTGGCTACTACTGCAGGCTGTGACAGGCCTGTGACACCATTAAAAGGAAACCCTACCTTGACTAAAACCAGCTCTTTAGCCATAAGCCCAAGACATGAGCAATGTCTGACCCCACAGCTCTTCACACCCCAGCCTCTAAGGGTGGACATCAGTTTTGCCTTCTACCTGAGGAGAAGCCCTCTCCTACATCAGCACTGGAGGGACCCTCTCTTGCCCTCCCAGACTACAGCAGGGAGGCACAAGGGTGGCTGTCATGGACGCAGGAAGGAGAACCAAGGTTGATTGTGGCATATTCAATACACTCCCAGCAATCTACTCACACACAAGAGGCACATATCACTCATACACTCCACACCACACGATTACACACTATGCAGCACTCACAGTACACACTACACTACAGGCACACCACACTCACACACTCCACACAACATACTTACATACCACACCAACCACACACATACACAACAGGCACACCACACACACACTCCACACCACATCAACCACACACATACACAACAGGCACACCACACACACACTCCACACCACACGCTTACATGCTACGCGGTACTCCCGCCGACACCCGCAGCACTCGCACAGTCCGGGGCTGCCGGGAGGTCGTCCAGGTTGGGCCAGGGGCGCGCGCGTCCGCCGCGCGTCCTCACCGCCCGCCCCTCAGGGCTGCCATTCGCCGAGCGGGAGTCCCGGCCGGCCTTACCCGGGTCTGGAGCTGCGGCCTCTCCGGGCTGCGGGCCGAGCGCCCCGCCGCGGCCCAGGCCCCGGGGCTTCTCCAGCCGCCGCACCAGCCAGCGCACGGCGAGCAGCAGCACCGACGCGCCCAACAGCTCCCAGGCCAGTGCCGCCCACTCGGCCGCCGCCAGCCGCGGCCACAGCATCGCCGCCGCCGCCGAGGAACCCGGGGTCCTGCGCCGCCCGCCTCGCGCCGGGGCTGCCCACGCCCCGGCCTGCCGGAGTGCCGGCTGTAGTCCCCAGCGTGCCGCCAGGCAGCGACGCGGGCAGCCTCGGCGCGGGAGTGGGTCCTCGTACGGGCGCGGTGCAGTTGCGCTGTTGCCGCGCACGGGGCGAGGCTCACGGACGCGAAAATACGGCGACGCGAGGGTGGGGCTGGGGGCGTGGCCTGTGCCTGTCGGGTGCGCCCTACGCCCCGCCGGGGGAGCTGCCCGTTGTCGGGGTGCGGCCTGCGCCCCGGCGGGGGAGCTGCCCGTTGTCGGGGTGCGGCCTGCGCCCCGGCGGGGGAGCTGCCCGTTGTCGGGGTGCGGCCTGCGCCCTGCGCCCTGCGCCCTGCGGGGGAGCTGCCGGTTGTCGGGGTGCGGCCTGCGGCCTGCGCCCTGCGGGGGAGCTGCCCGTTGTCGGGGTGCGGCCTGCGCCCTGCGCCCTGCGGGGGAGCTGCCCGTTGTCGGGGTGCGGCCTGCGCCCTGCGCCCTGCGGGGGAGCTGCCCGGGGACCGCCAGAGCCAAGAGCTGTGCAGGGACGGGAGTTTCCCGGGATTCCGCAGTCCCGGCTTCCAGTGACTGGCCGGTGGGTGACCGCGAGTCACAGGGCGTGGCGGTGGCGCTCAAGGAGGGTGAGGTGCGGGTTGAAGGCCCGGGGCATTCGGGAGGCGAACGGCGCCTTGCAGCGAGGGCTTGTGGAGCGCTGACCCCTGACCACTTGCAGATAAGCAGCGCACTTTTTTAGTTCCTCGCCCCCTGCGCCTCACGTTCACACGTTTAGATCCTAGCCCCCGATAGGATTGTGGGGTGCGGTCGAATCTATCCTGGACTGCTTGAAAGGAGCCCCTGCCTTCCACATCAGATCGAGGAAGTGGACGGTGTTGGGCTTTAAACACACTTGAAGTACTTACACACAGCGGATTCCCGCAGCCAAGTCCTATTTTACCTTAAGCGGAAAACACCAGGTACTTTAGGAGGTTCTTTTATTCTAGCACGGTGCGACCGGGGAGGGAGTGGCATGAGGGCAAAGAGGAAAGAAGGGGGAGGAGGGCACACGTGGGGAGGCTCCTTATTATTTATTTAAGATTTATCTATTTTTATTGCAGTCAGATATACAGAGAGGAGGAGAGATAGAGGGGAAGGCTCCTTTATGCCACTCAGGTGAGCCTGCAAGGTGTGTGTGTGGGGGGCGTGAACTGGGAGGGGCTGCGAGCGGGGCCCTGCGGAATGGTGACCGAGATTGTCACAGGTGATTGGGAAGTGGGCAAGAGTTGGTGGGTGAGGTTCTCAGGTAAGCCGCCTGGAGGTTACATCTGGATTTGTAAGTTTGGGGATAGGGGAAGCAGGAAGCTGCCCCTGGGGCCAAGATGGAATATTTGAATTACTCTTTACAGGGGAGTCAGGGTAACTCCGTGGGATCATGAGAATCTTCCTCTTTCCTCTTGTATTTTCATTGATTCGTTGCCTTGTTTAGAAGGACCCCTGGCCATAAAGACTGCACCATGGATGTCTTGAAGGAGCCCCTGTCCCCAAGCCCAGACACCCTGAGAGAACACGTATTGGCTGCCAGCCAAGCCAGGACACAGGACCTGAGCCATGGGCCTTGGGCAGGGCTGGGAGCCATAGAGAGGCTGCCCACACCAGAAGGACATCCCTGACTAGGCCCAGTCTTGGGGTGGTGTCCCTCTGTGGAGCTTGGGTGCTCCTTCACTGCATGGGAAAGGCCACAGGTCACCCCCAAGCTGTGTCAGAGGTGTCAGGGGTTGGGAAGGTGCCCTTCACTCACACACAAGCCCAGGCCTTATGTGGATGAGCTATGGCTGGAGCCCACAAGAACTGGGCCATGTTTGGAATTGGGGGTCCTACACACAGGTCAACACAGGGCATGGCATCGCCTTTGGCTTCCAGACTCCCCAATTTTCACATTCATGCCACATGTGGACCCACAGAGCAGTGCCAATAAACGTGCGTCCGAGGATACTTCCCTCACTGATCTGGGATCCACAAGGGCTGACACTGTCACTGCTCCCTGGAACTGTCTTGATGTCTCAGTTTCTAGATGACCTGGTGATTAGATGCTTAACTCCCATGAGTACTGAATCCACAGCCCTTACATTCAACCCACATTCCTGGCAGTACTTGCTAAATCACCACACCAGGAGGTGGGGCCCATTTATTCATGCCAAAACCCACCATAGGGCCAGCACTATGGTGCAGCTAAGCTGCTGCCTGTGACATCAGCATCCCATATGGGTGCTGGTTCCAACCCTGGCTGCTGATTCCAGTCCATCTGAGAAGGCAGCAAGAGGCCTACACATTTGGGCCTCTGCCACCCGCACGGGAGACCCATGGCCCAGCCCTACCTAGTGAGGGAACCAGGGGATGGAAGATCTTTTTTTCTTTCTCCAGTTCTGCCTTGCAAATCCCTAAGTAAATCCTTACACTAGACACCAGAATGCAAACAGGCCACACTTTTCCAGCTGGCCAGCTGTCCATGCAGTGATTGATGGCTACTGCCCAGATAGTACGTTCCCCACGGTCAGGATGTCTGGGCAGTGAGGGAATTCTCACTTCAATGAAAGCAGGCAGCAGGTGAAGTGTAATGGGAAGAACAGAATCCCACAAAAGCCGGACCTTGAGCCTTGTGCACTTAAAACCCATGCTAGTAACTATACCTGGTTAACTTGTGGAAAATTCATTTGAAAGAGCAAGAGACGAGCAGTATCTTCATTTACCGCAGCCAGGGCCTGGAGATGAGAACCCAACAGGGATCTCCCACAGGGATGGTGGTGCCCTAGGGCAGCAGCTTCGGGGTCTGATCACTCTTCAGGAGATGGCCTTCCCTCCCTTTGCCTGTTGATTAGCCAGAGACTGGGCTGGCCTTGTGCTGTAGCATTCATGCTGCCCATGTCCCATGGGAATAACAGGGTTGGTGCCATCTATCAAAAACACAAGTTTGCCAGTGACACTAGTGATTTTACTAATGATGCTAATGTTTCCCCCCCACCACCAAAGATTTTATTTACTTTTTATTGGAAAGATTTCGAGGAGAGACAGGAAGATCATCTATTTCACTTCCCAAGTGGCCACAATGGCCAGAGCTGGGCTGGTCTGAAGCCAAGAATTTCTTCTAGGTCTCCCATGTGTGTGCACAGTCCCAAGGCTTTGGGCCATCCTCTGCTGCTTTCCCAGGTCACAACCCACAAGGAGCTGGAAGGAAGTGGAGCAGCCAGAATATGAACTGGCACCCATATGGGATCCCAGCAGATCAAGCTGAGGACTTTTTTTTTTTTTTAAAGATTCATTTATTTTATTGGAAAGTCAGATATACAGAGAAGAGACAGAGAGGAACATCTTCCGTCCAATGATTCACTCCCCAAGTGTGTGCAATGGCTGATGCTATGCTGATCCAAAGCCAGGAGCCAGGAACTTCTTCCGGGTATCCCATGTAGGTGCAGGGTCCCAAGGCTTTGGGCTGTCCTTGACTGTGTTCCCAGGCTACAAGCAGGGAGCTGGATGGGAAGTGGAGCTGCTGGGATTAGAACCGGCGCCCATATGGGATCCCGGTGCGTTCAAAGCGAGGACTTTAGCCACTAGGCCATGCTGTTGGGCCCGAGGACTTTTTTTTTTTTAAAGAAAAGGTTTATTTTTATTGCAAAGTCAGATATACAGAGAGGAGGAGAAACAGGAAGATCTTCTGTCCAATGATTCACTCCCCAAATGACCACAACAGCCGGTGCTGCACCCATCCGAAGCCAGGAGCCAGGAACTTCCTCCAGGCCTCCCACAAGTGTGCAGAGTCACAAGGCTTTGGGCTATCCTCTGACTGCTTTCCCAGGCCACAAGCAGGGAGCCAGATGGGACGTGGAGTTGCCGGGATAAGACCCAGTGCCCATATGGGATCCTGGCATATTCAAGGAAAGGACTTTAGCTGCTAGGCAACGGCGCTGGCTGGGCTCAAGGTAAGGACTTTCACTACTAGGCTACCATGCCAGGTCTTTTTAAGGATTTTGGAAATCAGAATTACATAGTGAGAGGGAGAAATTGAAATCTTTCATCTGCAGTTTTATTCCTGAGATGGCCACAATGACCATCACTAAGTCAGGCTGAAGCCCAGAACCAGAAACTTCTTCCAAGTTTCCCACATAGGTACTTGCAGAGGCCCCAGGTACTTGGGCCATCCTGTGCTGCTTTTCCAAGTATATCAACAGGGAGCTGGGCAAGAAGTGGAACAGCTGGGACTCAAAATAGTGCCTATCAAGATCCTGGTGTTATAGGCCGCACAGCTTAATCAGCTGTGCCACAGCGCTATCCCTGGTATGAAGGTTTCCAAAAACCAATAAAAATTATGGATGAAAAAGAAACCAGGGAGCCACATTGAGATTCAGTCATGACGCAACTATGACCAGTGACAGCCCTGCAAAGGCCAGAGCAGACAACAGGCAGCTGGAGCAGACCTGAATGTGCCATGTAAATCAGTTCATCACTCCTGCCTGACACAGGGGCAAGCTTGCTTGCTGTGATCAAATCAACAAGTTAGTTAACATCCTGTGCAAAACTTTGCTTTAACAGTAAGACTCTTTAAAACAAGTACCTGAACAGACTGTAAAACATACTTGATTAAAAAACTGTACTTCCCAAAGAAGACAATATAAAAATCAGAATGAAGGGCCCCAATGTAATAGGAACATCTTTACCAAAAAATAGTTTATTGCACAAAGTTTAAAGAATTCTCAAGCACACTTATTTATATTATATATATATTTATGTTTATATATATATAATCAACATGCTCTTTAAAATTAAATTTGTGTACATGGTGACACCTTTCCCTGTGTGCCCAGTCAGGACTCTCATGAGTAAACTTTAATCAAGATCAGTAATTGTAAAGCACTGCCCTCAAGGGCCCTGCCATAACCTGAGGCCTTCAAGTGGAACAGCTCTTTATCTCGGCATGTCTCTCATCCCAGCGATGCAAGCCCAGCTCATTTCTCTTCCAGATATGTTGGTCCCTCTCACTCCTGGAACTGTTAGTCCTGGAAGTCAGTGTATGTGTCATGATGACTCAGTAGGCCCACCCATGGTTTTTCTACTGCCCCTAGACCCAAGACAAGTGAGACTTCCAACTGGGAAGGTGTCAGTGCAAGCCTCTAGGTGTATGCCACCACAGGCTGCCTTCTGGGATGGCCAGTCTGTTCCCTGGACCAGGCCCAAGTACTTCATATACCAACCCCCAAACACTGCCCAGTAGTTTGCAGAGGAGAATGAAACTGTGTAAATCTGTAAGACCTAAGCATTGACCTAACATGTACTACTGGAAAACCAATGAAAACCAAGTTGCTTTAACTGTGTAGGACGAAAATCATGCAGGGCCTCAGCCCAGGTTTCCCACAATGTAGCACAACTCCCTGCACAAGTACAGCTTAACTCCAGGCTTGAGTTAACTTTCCTGCCATTTCTACCCACAAGCATAGTAATCCCAATGTTACTGAGGAATACAACTGGGAGGTGGAAGTGCCAGTGCAGTCCGCAAGACAGAAAAACAAAACACTGAATAGTCAAAAGCAGATGGCTCTAAAGTACAAGTGACTTGGGTCCATGCAGGTTGCATAAGAGACCAGTGACCAAGAACACTAGGCAGTGGGCAGGGCAAGGACTCCAGTTGCTTGCTGAGCCCCTACTGGGGGCTCAGAGGATGGGACACATACTGACAGGAAAGAGGGGGCTGTGTGTAAAGGGGAGCCTAGAGGATGGGACACACACCGAGAGGGGAGGCTGTGTAGGGTTGCACTCCAGGGCAGGGCTGAGGAAGAGAGGGGCTTGCGCTCAATGCACATGTGAGAATCAGTGTATGCTTCTGTCAGAGACCAGGACAGTTAAGTGTCACATATCTCCAGAGATGCACAAATGCAGTGAGGAGCCAGAACAGGGCCAGTGTCACTTCCTGGCCTTACAACTAGACCCAGGGACAATACAACCAAAATAAATAACAGGAATTACCACTGCTCCTTTTCTAACAGCACAAAAATAATTTAGTCCCCACCGATTTCCAACACAAGGTAAGCAGGGCATATTTCTAAGGAAGTTTCAAGTATTATTTCTGGATTAACCCTGTACAAGTGACACATATTTTAGAGGTCGAATAACTTGCTAGGGAATATGTTTTCAACAACAAAATATCTGTGATTAATGCTACATTAATGTACCAATTAATCACCTAGCAGTCCAAGAGAACACAGTGTAAAAATAGCCATTTTCTCCACAAACAGGCACAGGTCATCTGTGCTCAGCACAAGTGGACCAGTGGTGGTACCCAGGAACCACTCATGACAATAAATACACACAGGCCTCAACTCTTGCCAGCCATCCTCGACCATGTCCCACTGCCTGGGGGTGGGAACGGGAACACACACTGGTGCCACCTGTCATAATCCCTGCTGATTCTCAGCATGGGCTGGCTTGAAACATGCCAGGAGGCCACAGCATCTGCCTGAGGGTCCTGGCATTTCAGAGTTCTCTGTTCTCCACGTGTGATGACTGTAGCCACCAGGGCACAGGCTGCTTCCCAGTAAACATTGGCCTGTAAAATGGCTGCAAGCCTCCAGCCCCCTACACGCTCTCCTACCCATGCTCCCTCACCTCCCCAAAACAGGTCAGCCTGTGGTGACCCTTGGTGTCCCCCATCTTCTGAAGATCATCAACCTGGAATGCCCCCAGGGCTGGTGGTCTGGAAGGGCTGCAAGCAGCAGTTAAAGACCCTCAGAAATCATGAACAACGAAGAACACTTTCCATGTAAGAATATTTTGGTTTCAGAAGGTGCCATGAATAAAATGATTCATCTCTTATGATCGTCATCACTACTCTCTATGAAGACGCACCCCACTGGCACAGGTTCAAAAGTAGCAGCAGTGAAAGGAAGAGCAAAGGCCAGCTGGCTGTGGGGACCCTTGTCCATGGTGATAGCCAGAAACACAGGGAAGACCCCATTTCTGCAGGAAAGCGTAGCTTCTGCTGAGTGGGCAGCTGCACTCCCACCCCAAGGGGCAGTTCTGGCAGCAGCTGCTGGGCAGCTCAGAGAACATCTCCCTTCATAAACAACCCCTCACACTCAAGTTCCTCATGGAGACCTACACCAGGGTCTTAGGATTTGGTCATTTCATAGGCTAAGCTAAGTGTGATGCTCAGGTGACTATTCTCTAATCCATGGCTCTTATTCTGGAATCTTACTCTGTTAAAGGCAAAAGCAAAACTTAATTTTCATCTCTTAGGGAAACAGAGCACACAATCAAATAAATAATATTGACAGAAGCCTCCTCTGCAGTCCTATGCAGGGAATGGTCGCTGTCCAGTCCCTCCTCATGATCTCAGCTCAGGCTGTGTGTCTGTGTCGTCCCTGGGGGTAGGGCTAGCAGCTGGCTCTGCAAGGTGGGCTCCCACCTGAGTCCATGAAGACAGGGACTCGTGCACAGTGCTGGTGTGCTCCTCCATCTGGCGCTGCAGGCTGTCCATCTCCTGCCTGGGGACACACAAAAAGGGAGAGCCCCAGTCATTCCTAGTCACATGTGCACCAGCGACCCCAGGTGGACCTGGCAGCCATTCACTCCCCAGCACTTTTACTGCAGCCCTGCAGCCACAGGACCACGTGTCTGTGCAGGGCCCAGTGTTTCCACAGGGAGTGAACTCAAGATGGAGGGCTCAGTCCTCCAAGTTACTGTATGGAAACCATGCTGAAGTTGGTGTCACCCATGTCTTCCTTCACCTGTCCACAAAGACCCCATACATACTCAGTCTGTAGTTTCTGAGGGTTCCTCAGGGTCGCTGAGCTCTAGGTATCTCTCCCCACCACCTAGGACTGGAGACCCCATCAGGGCAGGTTTCTCCTCAATAAACACCCACTCAGACTTGACTGGCCCTTAAGGCTGGCAATGGACTAAGTGCACGAGGCGTACTTGAGTTGTTGGAGGCAGCTGTTGAGGTTCTTGAGGGGCTCCTTGCTCACAGCAGGCGGGGGCCTCAGGAGCTCCTCCAGCAGAGACGCTGGGACAGGGCAGTCTGGGATCTTGATGGGCGTGGCAGGGCTGGACGAACTGGCCTCACCTTTCAGCTCTTTTCTCTGTGTTAAAAGGTACATTATTAGTCCTCCTCAGGCCGTACTCTGCCCTCAGGACCTCACCAAGGACACTGAGCCAGCCAAAGACACAGCACAGGCTCGTAATCAGGGGTTCAAGAGATGCTGGCTGAAGAAGCAACTCCATTCCCAAGGCACACAACACATCCACTGTGGCACCTCTATGAGACCCTGGGCCTCTGAGCTTCTCCATGAAATCAAAACATCCAGACTTCAACCCCTGGTCCTCAGACACAAAGTTTCTCCAAATGGTAGATAAAGGATGGCAGAACAAACTCTGAATCCTGGGGTTCTCTGCATCTGCCTCCCGGGACTATTTACTTAGACTGAGGACAAATAGCCAGAAATGCACATTCTGATGTGGCAAGCAACAGCAACACAGGGTGCAGGCAGGCAGGCCAGCACGTGGGCCCTGTCACTTGATTTAAGAAACATTACACGGTGGTGGTGCTATCTGAATTTCTGTTGAGAAAGGTACCAAAGTAAAACGATGTGGCTTACTGTTCAGGCATAAACACCACCACCATTCACTCCCGCCCTAATATTGGCTGCCTAGGCCTAAGAGGACCTGGGCCCGGTACCGTCTTTGCTGTGCTGCGGCGCAGGTCCTGCTGCAGCTGCTGGTTCTGCTGCAGGAGGGTCTTCATGCTGTTCTTCAGCTCAGACACTTTCGTTTGAAGCATAAATTTATCCTTCTGGGTCGAGGACAGGTCTCCCTGTACCATCTCCAACTCAGACTTGATATTCTAAGGAAAGTAAAGTTATATTTTTAAAGTTAAAATTCCTTTACACTCAAAAGATTTTTTAGGACACAAGAGTGCTATACGTGTGAAGGCTGAAAGACGTTCTTCCCAGGACAATACTGCACCAAGAGTCAAGGTCTGGAAGAATCAGTTACGATGGCACCCTCAACTTTCTATTCCAACTCCAGAGCCTCTACCCAGAAAAGAGCAATGTCCCTGTGGCCTGAGCAATCCAGCTCAACCCCAACCATGACTCCAGGCACTAAGTTTTAAGTGGGGAACCATAGCCAGTTTGTAACTGGCACGTTGGGTTTGGTATAGTAGCCTAATGGCTAAAGTCCTCGCCTTGAATGCTTGGAATCTCATATAGGTACCGGTTCATATCCCAGCTGCTCGACTTCCCTTTTAACTCTCTGCTTGTGGCCTGGTAAAGCAGTAGAGGATGGCCCAAAGCCTTGGGGCCTTGTACCCACATGGTGGACCTGGAAAAGCTCCTGGTTCCTAACTTCAGATTGGCTCAGCTCCAGCTGTTGCAGTTACTTGGAGAGTAAATTAGCAGATGGGAGAGCTTTCTGTCTCTCCTTCACTCTATAAATCTGAATTTCCAATAAAAATAAATCTTTCCTAAAACAAACAAACAAAAAAAACAGGCACACTGAGCCTTGGAAGAGCAAAGCTGTGGGCCTAGAGTGGAGCCAAGCAGAGCCTCCCTGTGACAAGGGATGTGTTCAAGAACCAGTCTAGGTTGGGAATGCACCTGGTATAAATGGTGGAGCCGTGTGCAACAGGTACCTGCAACAGCCGCTGTGTCCCTTCCAGCTCCTTCCTTCCCTGCTGCTCAGTCAGGTCCAGCTGTTGCTTCAAGGACTGGATTTCCCTTTCTTTCTGAGCCACTTCCCATTTGAGATTCTCCATCTAAAAGGAGGAGAGACACATGACCAAAAGAATGGCAAAATGGTTGTCCACACTGTAGAGCCACTCTGACACTATAGTTAGAAATACAAAGCATCCCTTTCTCAGTAGACAAGAAAATGACCAAAGGCACCCCAATCCCACACACCAAACCAGGCCACCCTAACCAGGGGCAGGAGGTGAGACCATCTGTCACCTCTTGGTCTTCCATGGGCTGCCGGCTTGGCTGCTCATCCAGTTGCTTGCGCAGGAGCTGAAGCTGGGTCTGGGCCTCTGCCAGCTCTGCCTGGAACTGTGCAACTTCTTGGTGGTGCTTACCCTCCTGTGCCCTAGCAGAGATTAAGCAAATGGAGTAATAGCAGCACTCTTAGACCACCCCCCCACCACACACACAGGAGGCTTTGTGTTGTGGATAACTGCTCACCCAGAGATTGGGGTGTCTGGGGTGTCTGCCAATGAAGCACCCTGCCCAGCCCCATAAGCACTGTGGGTGCCCCAGGTCTGTAGCACCAGCCCACCCAGCCCTGCCCAGTCATGAGTCTGACTTCTCACTCACTAGCATAAAGCTCACAAAGAACCTCCTAGCAACCAGGGCACAGCTCTCAAGACGAATGCTCATATTAGAGCACAGGGTGCTGAGAGCTGGTTCAGGCGTCTCTAATAAAACAGGAGTCAAGAGTGTTCGGCAATTTGCTAAAACACAGGTGGCACTTGCTGCAGGTGTGTGTGACCCAGCCTGTGACACAGCATGCTGTGAGATACAAGGCTGCGAAGGTCTCCCTGAGAGGGGCTCAGGTGCTTACTGGAGTCCAGTAGTGGTGGCCTGCAACGAATGCACCAGATGTTCCTTGGCCTGTAACTCCTTCTTCACCTCGCACAGCTCCAAGCTGGCAGCCCTGAAGTGGCGGCGGTTATGCCCAGCGTCTGCCTTAGCAGCAGCCACCTAAAAGCAAAGGTGGGAGAACATGAATGTCACTCACTCAGAACCCTAGGTGACAGCTGCAGCAGGTGACACAACAGTGCCAGTATGTTGTGCCTTTTGACAACACAGTGTCCCACTGCCCTTCCTTTCCAAACTCAGCAAGTCGCTACCTGACAGGAAGGTCCTGGTGGAAGGTTTGGCATGCAGTGAGTGTTGAATGAACAAATATCTACTCAGGATTTCCTTATCTAAATGGTCTCAGTCTCCAAGTTTATCTGAGAGAAGTCTACTTCTCTGGCTCATGACTGTGCCATTCCTCCTGTTGATGCAAGGACTCCCTCCATTGCTTTCCATAGGGACACAGTCTCTCAAGCCTTCCAAAAGGATAAGTGGGATCTCAAAGAACAGCAACAAAAAGCCTACCCCATCTTGGTGGCTGATGATTGAGTTTCCTTGTCTAGCTGTATTGAAAAGCACTGCATTTAAAAACAAAATAAAAACAAAAAACAAAAAACGTTCAGGGCTCGGCGCAACGGCCCAGTGGCTGAAGTCCTTGCCTTACATACACGAGGATCTCATATGGGCACCAGTTCTAATCCCGGCGCCCCTGATACCCATCCAGCTCCCTGCTTGTGGCCTGAGAAAGCAGTTAAGGACGGCCCAATGCCTTGGGACCCTGCACCTGTGTGGAAGACCAGGAAGAGACTCCAGGCTCTTGGCTTCAGATCGGTACAACTCCAGCCATTGCAACCACTTGGGGAGTGACTCAATGGACAGGAGATCTTCCTTTCTATCTCTCCTCCTCTCCATATATCTGACTTTGCAATAAAAATAAAATAAATCTTTATAAAACAAATAAACAAAAAAAACCAAAGTTCAATGGGACACCATGGCACAGAACAATACAGAGAGCTCTCTCATATCTGCCGGATCATATCCCCTGAAGTATAGCAGCAGGGGCTGTCACTGACAGGAACTCCAGGCGAGCTGCACCCCATCCTATGTGTGTCACTGTCTGCCAGCCAGTGCCACTGCTGCCATGAGTCAAACAACTCAGTCAAAGGTAAGAGGCAGAGAAGACAACAGCTCATGCTGGTGGTAGCAGCTCAGAAGCCCTGGCAAGTTGCCCCTCTTAAGCACATGGGCTCAGATGGGCCCCTATGTCCAGAAACAGTTAATAACTATTCAGGTGAAAATACTTTAATACGGGGGAGGTGGCATGATGTTGCAGAAGATAATTCACCAAAATGCCATATGGGCACTAGTTTGAGTTCCTGCTACTCCAATTCTGATCTAGCTCAAAGGATTCCTGAGTGCATGGGCCCCTACACCTGCTTGGGAGACCCAGGAGCTTCTGGCTTCAGAAAGGCCCAGCTCTGACCATTGCAGCCATTTTGGGAGTGAACTGGCAATGGAGGATTTCTCTTTCTCTTTCTGAAACTCTGCCTTTCAAATGAATAAATAAATAAAACCTTGAAGTGGAGCTGCCGGGATTAGCATCAGCACCATATGGGATCCTGACGTGTTCAAGGCAAGGACTTTAGCCACTAGGTCACAGCGCCAGGCCCAAATAAATAAAACTTAAAAAAAAAAATATTTAGGGCCCGGCGCGATGGCACAGTGGTTAAGGTCCTCGCTTTGCACGCCTGGGATCCCATATGGGTGCCGGTTCTAATCCTGGCAGTCCTGCTTTCCATCCAGCTCCCTGCCTGTGGCCTGGGAAAGCAGTCGAGGACGGCCCAATACTTTGGGACCCTGCACCCATGCGGGAGACCCGGAAGAGGCTCCTGGCTTCGGATTGGCTCAGCTCCAGCCGTTGCGGCCGCCTGGGGAGTGAATCATCGGACGGAAGATCTTCCTCTCTCTCTCTCCTCTCTGTATATCCGCCTTTCCAATAAAAACAATAATAATAATAAAAAAACTTCTAGCACATTTTACAATTATATTTTAAAATAAGTTTTACTGTCTCACCCAAGATTCCATCAACTATGTTATCCCAGAGAAGTTCTCAAACAAGCAGCAGCTTTACTGTTATGAAAGTTTGAGTTGTGAAAAATACTGACAGCTCATAAAGTAATTTAATCAGCATTTAAAGGGAAAAAGATGGGGTTGGTGCTGTGACTCAACAGGCTCATCCTCCATCCTGTGTCGCCAGGATCTTATACGGGCATCAGTTCATGTCCTGGCTGCTCTACTTCCCATCTAGCTCCCTGCTTGTGGTCTGGGAAAGCAGCTGAGAATGGCCCAAGTCCTTGGGTTTCTAGCTTTGGATCAGCTCAGCTCTGGTCATTGTGGCCATTTGGGGAGTGAACCAATGGATGGAATATCTTCTCTTTCTTTCCTTTCTATGTATAAATAAATAAATCTTAAAAGGCGGGGAGGGAAGATACATCCTTATACATCCCTTCTCACCTTCTCAATGGCTATCCATTACTTATTGTGCTTCTTCCAAAAATTTATGTGTCCATAAACATCAAAATAAGTACACGCTATCACTTACAGGTACACACAATAAACCGCACACTACTCATGCAAATCAAACATCAAATACAAGTGTGCATACATCCACTGAACAATCATATCCATGTAGGCAAACACACACTTTGCACAATCACATGACACACACATGCATGTATTCTTACACGCACACACACACCCAGTGACTGTGTTCTGAGCATCTGTTCTAGTTCAGGAACTGAGTACAGAAACAAATTCTATGTCTGATGCTGGAGGCAAGAGGACAGGGAGCACACAGGCCTGGGGGCAGGGACTCCCTGGGTCAGGTCAGACCTGTCTGCTGAGGTGGTTTCTCTAGTACCATGGCCAACACCTGATGTGTGGAAGGAGACCACAATGAAAACGATTCCCTGTACAGAAAAGGCTTGCACAGCTACCTCTGTCTGCTGTTTCAACATGAGACCACTGGCTGTTCTAAAGTAACTTTGGTAACTTTGGTAACTCCTAGCATAGTATTGGTGTGTGTGCACACAGAGCTCAGGCATGGCAGAAGCAACACTATCACTTCAAGCAAGAGCATGTTCTGTGGTCAACACCAGCCTCCTGCAGCCTTATCCTGGGCAGCATCTGTTTCCATGGTGAACTCCCTGGAAAGGACTCACAAAGGGCCCCCTTGAACCTTCTGCAGACTGCTTGCTGTCTCCCCCTTAAAGCAGGCTGTATGCTAGCCATTTGAATGCCCTCACACTGATTCTGCTCCAAATCCAGCTTCCTGCTAATGCACCAGGGAGGCAATAGTGACAGCCAAAATACTTAAGTCCTTGATACCCACGTGAGAGCCCGAGATAGAGTTCCTGTCTCCTGGCTTTGGCCTGCTCCAACCTTGTTACAGGAGTTCAGGGATTACGGAATGAGCCAACAGGTGGAAAACCCTGTCTCTGGCTCCCATCCCCACCAAATCTCCCCCTGCTTAAAAAAAGTAAAACCAATGAGAAGCTGGGCACACACCTGCTCCTTGAGGTTCTTCACTTTTGCCTTTTCTTTCTCTAGGGCAGACTGCAGGGCCTGGACAAGCTGTTTCATCTGGTGGTCTTCCTCTTCTTTCCGCTGTAAAACTGCCTGTACCTAGATTCCATTGCATGGGGACAAGAGAGATGTGAAGTTGCAAACACAGCCCAGAGGCACTCGGATCCAGGGGGAGGGACGCACTCATTGCTCTATAGCACATGATGTGTCATATGAGAGCACAAGCTAGGGAGCTAGAGAAAATTCCTTTGGGAAACACTGCAGGAGAAACCAGAACCTGAATTGCAGGAGTGTAAACGCATAAACAAATCCAAATATGGCTGGGAACCCAAAAGATGCATATGAACTTAGGAATTCAAGTACAGACATCTTCTGGCAAGGCTGGTTGGAACTGGGACAACACAGTTTAGCTCTCCAGCGACGGAGCAGCCCTAGGCTAGAGGCTCAGAACGACCGCGCAGAAGACCCTGTTATGGCCAGGCCTGTTCCTGAAAAGCCCAAGGAGCCACAAGAGGGACTACAGCCAAGAACCAGCCAGTGAGCAGACCCCATGAGGTCTTCAGATGGGCCTTGCCAGAACTACAAGATTATCCCACCCACACCACCGGGGGAAGCTGGAATAGAGCACCACTTATACAGTCTACCCCGCTTAACCTGGCTGGCCAGGCTTGACAACTAACCAGATTTTCTAAGCTTGTCCCTGGGTCTCAAAATCAGGATTACAGGGTGAGAGTTGAGGCACAGTGACTCAGACATGACATGGGATGCCTGCATCCTGTGCTGCAGTCTTGGTTCAGTCCTGATAATGCCCACCCTGGGAAGCACCTGAATCACTGTTGCCCCATGTTGGCTCTCGGCTTTGGCTTGACCCAGCTTTAGCTGTTGCGGAGATCTGGCAAGTAAGCGATCAGATGTGAGAGCTCTTTCTTTCTCTTTCTGCCCTTCAAATAAATAAAAGCTTTAAACTAAAAAAAAATTTTAGCTGTCTTTTCAACATGAAACAAGGAGATATTCTACTTTCTTTGCAGGTGCTTCTCATGATCAAGTACAGGTAAGACACACACGAGCCCAATACCTGAAGATTCAGCTGGACTAGGTCTGCCTCCCTCTTGGCTAACGCTGTCTCCAAGATGCTGTTGTGTTCCCGCAGAGCTGCATTAGACTGTCCGAGACCTGTAAGCTTTCCTCTCTCATGCTCTAACTCAAGGGCCAGCTTCTTATTGGACTCCTCAAGGCGCTTTATCTTCCTCCTAAAGCCTCTGGATTCCTGAAGCTGAAACACACAAAATTACTGTGACATCACAGGTTCTGCATAAAGAATGACATGATTAATGCTAACATATAAACTGTCCTTCTTTTCCACCCAAAAGGTGGAAGGTCAAGGGTCCTGTTTTCCCAAGCCTCTTCCTCTCCTTCATGTCCTGGTCTGCGGCCTCACCTTCTTAGGGGACCATGTGCTGAGCCTTGGCCCAGGACAGGCTAGGCAAGGCTATAGCAGGGTGTGGGCAGGGAACTGACTGCAGGAAGTGACAGGATGGGTGAGTGACACATGCAGTCCTTGGGACCCTGATGGAGTGGCTGGGCAGGGAAAGATGGCAAGAGCCCTTGCAGACAGCACTGGGCTGTAGCTGGGCCTGTCTGAAGGTGGAACTGAACTGTCTCTGGACCTGTGAGTTTTGAGCTCTCTGAAAGGTTTGAGTTCGGCTTATCACCTGAAACCAAAGCACTTTAACGGGGAGAAGAGTCATCATTATGCATACGCATGGGCATCCCACTGGAAAGGCTAGATTAGCCTCACTCATATGCAGGGACCAGAGCATGCTGCTCCAAAGCCGACACAAACTCTCCATGGGCTCCACAGCCGCGATCGTCATGCAGCCTTACCTCGTCCTCCAGCTCTAGTGCCTTCTCCCGGGACTCTTCCAGCTCTTGGCTGGTTGTGGCAATCACCTCCTGCAGCTCCTTCTCCAGCAGCAGCTTGCTGTGGCTCACACTCTGCAGTTCTACCTCAAGGGCCTGGATCCTTTCCTAACAACCAGAATACACAGTATGTTTGGTCATGGTCCCTACCTCCTTGCCTCCCATGCACTGACAGGTGTAAAGCCATTCTCACAGCATGTCCCACCTTGAAAGATTTGAACAAAGTAACCTCAATGCACACAGCTACAGAACAGCATGAGGACAAAAAAAAGAAACCAGGTTTCTTAGTTAAATGCTTTAGTAACACAGAGAAATCTGACCTACACAAATGCCCACGTATGGAGAAACACCAGCACTCGGCAACACAAACACCACACATGCTGCCCAACAGAACCAGGCCCTGATCAAAGCACATTCCAAAGATCCACAACACTCATCATCCACATTATTTCAGCCTGACCTTACTAAAGACCAGCACGGTGAGCCACTAAGGCCACCACTTCTAGATGGATGTCAGACAGCCCAGAAATGGGTATCAGCCACAGCTCCCAGCTGAGCAGGACAACGCAGGGTTCAAAAGCATCTGACACCCTCACCCTTACACATCAGCAAAGGAAGAGGAGGGCAATGCAGCATGTCTCCAAAAATGTATGTAAGTAAGCAGGGGGAGACCTTGATGTGATGTGTCCAAATACCATATTATGATACAGTCTCCTTCCAGTTACACGAGGTAAAATGAGGCAAATTGGAGAGTGCAAATGAATTTGCAAGGACAATCTTTACACTTCCTCATGAAGCTCAAGGGAAAAGGTGAGAATGTAGGGAACCCAGGAGCCCACCTAGAGCTAGAGAGGCTGGCCACTGGGACAGGGCACGTACTCAGGACTCAGTCTAATTGCTTTCTCTGAAAAATAATTGGGAAGAAGTCAGCTCCATGTGTCACAGCATGCAGAGCAAGAAGAGCAGCCCTGGGGTGAGGCGGGGAAGCAGGAAGTCAGTCATTTCTCCCTTCCTGAAGCTGGACATTTATAGCTGCTTCAGCCCTCGCGTGTCCTACAGTGGTCCTGACCCCAGATTCCTCCTTAACTGTCCCACACTATTATCAGAACAGCCTCTCACAATCTGCCACTCAACTTAGCTGTGAGGTAAACACAAACACGGCTGTGGCAGAGCCATCTGAACTCACTGTCCCTACCTTCAGCTCATCCTCATCCATTCCCCATTTTCACCCATGGCCTCTGAACAGAAACGCTCACAGGGCCATCCCCAGGTGGCTCTCCATATGCCATCACAAGTTTAAACTCCTTCCTCCTGCCTACCAGCCCCCAGCCCTCCAGCCCTGCAGGTAGGTCTGCTCTGCCTTTCAGAGCGCCCCTCGCCCTCACATACCCCATTTGTTCTAGATCACCTCAAACATCACTTCATCCAGCAGTTCTTCTGGGCTCTACTCAGCACTGACCTGACCCCTCTGGATCCTTCCCCTCCCAGCATTACCTCCTGAGACACTGGGGGGACACGAGAAGACCAGCCAGGCTTACCCATGACGGTGGCAGCTGAGTGGGAAACTACACACAAACACTGGCTCACAATGACACTAGGCAGGGTTTTACAGGAATATCCCCTAAATACCTCCCACCATTCTCGTCAATCCTCTTACAGAGTTTCTGGGAGAAACTCCTGAGAGATGCCCTTTCCCGATGCCAAATCTCCTGCCTCTGATGGTGACAGAGGTGTTTACCTACATGTAGCGTGGGGTCGCTGCCACCCACGGTGCTCTGGGCCCTGAGCTGGCTCAGCTCTGCGTCTGCGGCCTCTTTGGCAGTGAGTGCCTCCTGCAAGCGGCGGCTGAGGATGCTCACGGCGTTCTCATATGCCTTGTGCTTCGTCTTCATCTCCTTCTGGGCACTGGTCAGGTCTGAGCCCAGTCGCTTCATCTTTTGCTTCTGCTCTGTGATGGCCCTGAGGTGACATGGGGAGACAGAGGCCTTGGCAGTGGCACTAACCAGTGCCAGGACTCCCTGGCAGCCTGCTGGGCAGCACTGGAGAGATGGCAGAGTGCTTCACAGTGAGGGCTGCCGCAGCTCAATAACCCACTCCCCTGCCTCGTCTCTGACTGCTCTCTGGGAAATGTGGGTGAGCATGCACAGGTCCTCCCGAGCTGCTGCAAAGGGTACAGCTGATCCCGTCAGGTGTGACTCCGCGGCAAGGGGCAAGAGTTCTGAGTGTCAGTCATTTCCAACACCATCTGAGCCTGGGAAGGTGGAGAAAGTGGCCACTGCAGCCAGAGAGAGGTGTGTCCAGCACTCTTCCTGACTGCCAGCAAAAGCCCTAACACATTCCAGTAACAACAGCAGCATGGCACAAGATGTGGCACTGGGGTAGAAGGCCCCAGAAGTGTTCTGCATCCACAGGTGAATGCAGCGGAAGGCTGTTTGCTTGTGTCTACATAAACATGATTGCATGTGGAGAGATAACTGGGAGGGGAAGGATGTTGCCTCAAGCGGGCAGCACAAAAACATGAATGAAAATACAAAAGGATTGCTTCTATTAAGGGGTGCTCAGTAAATCGCCCTGTAAACTGGGATCATCTCTCAGGGCAAGGCCCACCACTTCCTGCTGAGGGTGTCCTGGCACTTACTTCTGGGCTTCCTGCTGCAGCTCTTCCACCTGCTTCTGTAGTGCCTCGTTGGCCTCTGAAAGTGCCGTCATGCGCTCACTATCCAGCTGCAGGGACTTCAAATGGAGAGAGGGCTGTCAGAAGTGCACATGGTGTCAAGGCTGCCATGCATACTCGCAGGATAATCTTGACCGTGATGGTAGCCTTGCAAACAGAAGTCAAAAGTGCTTCTGATGGCTGTGTCCTCCCTGACTGCGGCTGTGGGGAGGGCCTCTTGACCCGCCCACCGCCTTCCTCCCAGCCTTTCTGCTCCCTCAGTGTGGCTGCAGCGATACTACCACAGCATGGACAGGATTTCTTCTTCTTTTTGAAATGCAGATTACAGAGAGACAGAGATTGATCTTCCATCTGTTGGCTCACTCCCAAAACACCCACATTGGCCAGGAAGGGGGTGTGGGGTCCTTTCTCTGAGGGCCTGTAAACTGGGTAATGGAAGGGAACAGGTGCGGAAAGTGAGACTGGGCTGGCTGTGTGAAGCAGCAGGCAGGCAGTGCTGGGAGGCTGGGGACAAAGCAACAGGATGGGGCAGGCTCAGTTCTGTGGGAGGAGGCATATTCAAGAATTATGCTTGGAGCACCACAGGTTAAACTACTGCCTGCAGTACACCACCCATTTCAACACCAGCTTCTCTATGGGTCTGATACACAGCCTGACTCTTCTCAGGCACCTTATCTTGGCCCAGCCATGACAACCGTGATGACCCTGGTACCTGGACTCTGCTGCCCATGTGTGAGACCAGGCTGGGGCCTGTAGCTCCCAGCCCTGTCCGCTGCAGCATTTGGAGAATGGATCAGTGGATGGAATTATCTGTTTTCTTGTCCCTCTCAATTAATCAATCTAAAAAAAAAAGGGGGGGGCCCCCCCCGGCGGCGTGGCCTAGCGGCTAAATTCCTTCCCTTGAATGCACCGGGATCCCATATAGGTGCCAGTTCCAATCCCAACAGCTTCACCTCCCATCCAGCTCCCTGCTTGTGGCCTGGGAAAGCAGTCGAGGACAGCCAAACGCCTTGGGACCCTGCGCCCATGTGGGAGACCCGGAAGAAGTTCCTGGATCCTGGCTTCGGATCAGCATAGCATCAGCCGTTGCGCTCACTTGAAGAGTGAATCATTGGACGGAAGATCTTCCTCTCTGTCTCTCCTCCTCTCTATATATCTGACTTTCCAATAAATAAATAAATCTTAAAAAAAAAAAAGAGGAAGAAATCTGAAACCTTATCAGCCACTACTACTTGCAGTGTGAGTCCCAGAGAAATGGTTGGTAAGTGTGTGTCCCAAGCCCCTGCACACTGGCTCTCTACAGGGCTCTCAACCCAAATGCTGACTAGCTCTCTAGAGCCTGTCCTAAGGAGACAGCATCTGTTTCTTGGCACATGACAACATCACCTGGACTGGCCTACCTGCCTTCTGGAACCTAAGTGCCAAGAGGCTGTTCTCCTAGGCTGCCCTTTAAAAGTGTTGCCCAGGGGGCCCGGCGTGATAGTGTAATGGTTAAGGTCCTCACCTTGAACGCACTGTGGATCCCATATGGGATCCCAAATGGTTCTAATCCTGGTGGCCCTGTTTCCCATCCAACTCCCTGCTTGTGGCCTGGGAATGCAGTTGAGGATGGCCCAAAGGGACCCTGCACCCACATGGGAGACATGAAGGAAGTTCCTGGCTCCGGGCTTTGGATTGGCTCAGCTCCGGCCACTGTAGCCATTTGGGGAGTGAACCATCAGACAGAAGACCTTCCTCTCTGTCGCTCCTCCTCTCTGTATATCTGTCTTTTCAATAAAAATAAATAAATCTTAAAATAAAAAAGGGTTGCCCTAAGGCCATGCACAGTAGCCTAGTGGTTAAGTTCTTTACCTTGCAAGCACTGGGATCCCATAAGGGTGCCAGTTCATATCCCAACTACTTCACTTCCCTTCCAGCTCCATCCTCGTGGCCTGGGAAAGCAGTAGAGTACCACCCAAGGCCTTGGGACCCAGCACTCGTGTGGGAGAGATGGAAGAAGCTCTTAGCTTTGGATCACCTCAGCTCTGGATAGAAGATTTTTTTCTCTCCTTTTCTCTGTAAATCTGACTTTCCAATAAAAAACTAAATACATCTTTTTTTTAAAAAATGTGTCTCTTTGGGGTTGACGGAGCAGTGCAACAACTGAAGCTGCTACCTGTGGCACCAGCATCCTATGTGGGCATTGGCATAAGTCCTGGCTACTCCACTTCCAATCTAACTCCCTGCTAATGCACCTGGGAAAGCAGTAGAGAATGGCTCAAGTACTTGGGCCACTACATCCATGTGGAAGACCCAGAAGAAGCTCCTTTGCTACTGGTTTCAGACTAGTTCAGCTCCAGCCATTGTGGCCATTTGGGGAGTGAACTACAGGATGAACCATCTATCTGTTTCTCTTTACCACTTACTATAACACTGCCTTTCAAAGATCAATCTTTAAAAAGGTGTCTTTCCACCATGCCCACCCAGTCCCACAGAACCCCTGTGCCCTGCATGCCTGTAGCTGTGTCTCCATCGCATCTCGCTCCGTCTGCGCTGACTGCAGCTGCATCTCCAGGTCGGCCATCTGCTGGTGGACCTGAGACACTTCCTTCTGCAAGCGTGCCTGCTCCCCCTCAACAGCCCTCTTCTCCCCTTGTGCTTTAATCAAGTCTCGCCTTAGTTCCTGCATCTCTGAGTCCAGCCTTTTCCTGGTGGCTTTCAGTTCACTGATGAGCTGGTCTTTGGAAGTTGAATCCCGCCGGTAGGCCTCCACCATCACCTGCCAAGCAAGACAGAAAATCCTAGTTAGGTCCAAGTTTGGTCCTGCCCAGGGGTCAAGCTGGCTTAAAACAAGGATGTGTGATCACACATGCCAGTGAATAGCATGCTTCATCCTGAGGCAGCAGTAAGCCTGGACCCACTGAATGGTGTGGAGACAATGCACCTCCCTCCAAGATACCTGATGGGCTCTGAGGAGGCCACTCCCTCCCCCTCTGGTGGCAATGCTTGGCCTGACACGAAGAAACCTTCGTGGCCTGTATCTCCACTCTTACTACTCTTACTACTATCTTCTCACAGTCCCAAGGCCTTGCAGGGACAGGTGGTCTAACCACTCCTCCACAGAGAAACTGGCTCCCTGACAAACACCTCCTGCACTGATCAGGGTTGTTCCAAACCTGGGTCCTGCATAGTAATGACAATGCACCAGACCCACTGCTCTCCAGAGTGACAGTATGGTCCTGATGGGTACTGCACCACACACATCTATGGGGATAAGATGCTACCATGCTTGGAATTGCACCCTGACTTCAGAGAGAATCTTAGAATCAGGGAGCAAGTGTGGCTCTCTTGGCTTCTGTGGGATTTCCTCCCTACCCCACCACCAAGCCTCATGGGAAGAAAGCTCCACAAGTACCTTTTGCTGAAGAAACTGTTCTTTTATCTTCTGCATCTGCTTTTTCACAGCCGCAGTCTCTTGCTGCATGTGCTCCACCTGTGGGGTCACAGATGTCACACTGAGGGCTGCAGAGAAATCTGTGCCCTGAGGCTGTTCCTCAGAGCTTTCCCAGGTCAGGACCGCAAGGAAGAAGGCTGCATATGCTATGTGCCATGGCCCCTGGAGTCACTCAGACAGCAACAGGGCCTGCTCTCTGCTCACACTTAGCCTTTTCAAGTTTCAGACTCATCAGTAACCGCTTACTGAAGCAATGTCCCAGCAGAGCAGCACAGCAGCAGCAGGGCATGGCTGGTCAGAGTTGGTAAGGAAACACAGCTTCCTTTTACTTTACTTTCCCAAAGGGAAAATAGATCTGTGAGTTCCTCAGGAGTGGGACTGAGACAGAATCAGTCACAGTACAAACTTTACTTCCTCCACGTCCTTCTTCAGCAATTGTGACTCCAATTTTTAGTGTTTGCCTACCTGAAAACCATCTCATGCCATGAACATTCTAGTTTTCCCCAGCTGTGACTTGCTGCTAGGCTCACAGCACCGGGACCTCTAGGGGTGTGAGGTGTGATCAGCGGTGGGGTCCTCCCTGCCTGCCTCATGTGTCTCACACCAGGCCTGGGCTGCCAGTAGGCTCAGCCGGAGCCACATGCACGCAGCACAAGCAAAGGTGAGTCTCTGAAGCTCCTCCTAAATCAAGCTCTGCACCGTGAGTGGACACACAGGGTTTTTTGAAATAATTCTTTCAAATATGCCCAACAAAATCTGCCCCACTCAGGATCTCTCCACACCCACTGACCAAGGCAGGGCCACAGCAGCAGTGGTTGGTCTCACCCATCCCTGCCCTGAAGGCACTCCTCTGTAGTCACCTGCAAGTACAAAACGGCCAACTACAGACAGGGCAGCATGGCTGTGGCACACATGGCTCTGAAGTGTAACAAGATGACAGCATTACCTGACTGGACTTGATGGCTAGTTCTTGTCTTAAGTGTTCTAGAATTTCTGATGTTCCTTCAGTGCCTTCTTCCAAGCGTTTTGCTCCTTGGTCAAATTCCTCCATGCTGCTCTTGGCTGCTTGCAGGGCTACCTCTAAGACAATCTTTTCATTTTGTAGGAAGCGGATTGTGTCCTCCTTGGAGGTGGCCTCTCCTTGCAGCTCTTCCAGCCTGGCCTGCAGCTCCTCATAATGAGTCTGCAGGTCCCCCAGGGATTGCTCCTTGGCCTGTAAGGCCTCCTGTGTGGAAGTGAGTTGCTGCATCACAGCCAGGTGCTCCTGTTGCAAAGCCTCCAGCTGCTGGTCTCGTTGTTGCAACGTCAACTTCACCTGGAAAAAGCACATAAATTCAATATGGCTGCTCCTGACCCTGCTACAAGAACTTGAACCCTTGCACTCCATTAAGGTTTTTTTGTTTGTAAGATTATTTATTTAGGGCCCGGTGGCATGGCCTAGCAGCTAAAGTCCTCGTCTTGAACACGCCGGGATCCCATATGGGCGCCGGTTCGTATCCCAGCAGCTCCACTTCCCATCCAGCTCCCTGCTTGTGGCCTGAGACAGCAGTCGAGGACGGCCCAACACCTTGGGACCCTGCACCTGTGTGGGATACCCAGAAGAAATTCCTGGCTCCTGGCTTTGGATCGGCATAGCATCGGCCATTGCGCTCACTTGGGGAGTGAAACATTGGACGGAAGATCTTCCTCTCTGTCTCTTCTCCTCTCTGTATATCTGACTTTCCAATAAAAATAAATAAATCTTAAAAAAAAAAGTATTTATTTAGGGCCTGGTGGCGTGGCCTAGCAGCTAAAGTCCTTGCCTTGCACACACCGGGATCCTAAAATGGGTGTCGGCTCATGTCCTGGCGGTTCACTTCCCATCCATCTTCCTGCCTGTGACCTGGGAATGCAGTCAAGGATGGCCCAAAGCATTGGGACCCTGCGCCATTGTGGGAGAACTGGAAGAAGTTCCAGGCTCCTGGCTTCAAATTGGCTCAGTTCCAGCCACTTACAAACACTTGTGGAGTGAATCACGGACAGAAGATCCTCCTCTCTGTGTCTCCTTCTCTCTGCATATCTGCCTTTTCAATAAAAATAAATAAGTCTTTAAAAAATTATTATTTATTTAAGCAAGAACCAGGAGTTTCATTCTAAGTCTCCCACCTGGGTGCAGGGGCCCAAGGACTTGGGTCATCCTCTGCTGCTTTCCAAGACCATAAGCTGGACTGGAAGTAGAACAGCCAGGACTCAAATTGGCACCCATAGGTGATGCTATCACTGTAGCCAAAGGCTTAACAAAGCTGGACCCCCATTCAAGTTAAATAATTACACTGGGCACTGGAGTCCCTTTTACAAAATTCTGGAGAATACCAACAGTGTGATCATGCAGATTTGCACAAATCCCAGACCTGGTAAAGGTGACTCTTGGAGCAAAACCCACAGACAACTCCACACATACCCATGGCAATGGGGCCTGACACGAGAAGACCCCAGAGCCATTTGTGTATAGCTCGGAGCCTCTCAGGCCAGGCCTGGACAGGCAGGTTGTTTTGCAGGTGACCTCCAAGCCAGTGGTGGTGGACACTTGCCTGCTCCAACTGCTGTTCCAAGGAAGCTGCGGCATCTGCTGCCTTCTGCAGCTGCTCCCGCTCGTCTTCAAACTCTTCCAGCCTTCTCTGGAGATCCTCCTCCACCATTGTCTTGGCCTCCTGGATCTGCACAAAGGCTGCCTCCTGGTCCAGCAGATCAGCCTAGGCCCAGGAAACAGTGAATTTAAAAAGCAGAAAAAAACTATTACCTTCAGCAAGATGCCATGGGTTTGTATCACCACTCTCTCCACAAACTACAAATGAGGAAAGCTGAGCCTTGAGGGCCATGAAGCAGGGGTCAGGGCACCTGGGACTCCTTGGCTGCCCAGGCATGGTCCTCCACTCTGCAGACTGCCAGGCTTGACCCAGGAGAGCAGACAGACACTGAGATCTAGAGGTAAGTGATGCTGGTAGCACATCCCTCAGGCTGGGCACATCACTTAGCAAACCAGAAGGAAGGCAAGGAACTACAGGGACAGACACTATTTCTGAAGTGTTAAGCACATGATTACAAGCTAACATCTGGGCATACTTCTCAAGGAAAAGAAAAATTACAATCTAACATTTTCCCAAGTGTATTACCGGAGCCCTGAAGCACTAGAACTGACAGGAATGACTCTATCATCCTGCAAGTTAGACAGAAAAAGAGCAGAGTCAGAGCAAGGAGTCGAGAAACCCAGCTTTCCCTGGGACACAACTGTCCTCAAGAGCCTCAGCCACACCAACCACCTTAAACCCTGCTTGGGTGCTTTATACCTGTTGGCTTTTCCCAGCAGGGTTATTAAGTGGGCACCACTATTCCTGTTTTATAAAAGAGAATGAGGCTCAGAAAAGTTGAGAAATCACCGAGTCTCACAGCTACCTACAGAACAGCCCAGGCGTGGGTAGTTAGGGCAGTGCTCACCACTCCACAGGGGACATCCTCATATCTGAGTGCCAGGGTTCAGACTTGAGCTCCACTTCTCATCTAGCTCACTGCCAATGCACAGTCTGGGTGCCAGCCATGAATTCACCCATGTGGGAGATGGCAATGGAGTTCTGGCTTCCTGGCTGAGACTTGGCCCAGCCTGGGCTGCAGCAGGCATGTGGAGAGGAAACCAGTGGGTGGAAGAACTCTCTGTCAGTCTATCTATATCTCTCAATCTTTGTAAGGAAGTCAGGGGAATCTCTGGGTTCAGGTGAAAGCTGCTGAGTCTGCTGCTAGTACGGAAGCCCCCCCGAGGAAGCTGGGGCAATAACAGACTCGGCAATGTGAGCGGGGCAACCCAGTGGATTGTGGAACAGTTACTTGATGGCCCCTTCCCTGTCCCTTCCCCCGCCCCCGTGCCCAGTACCACAGGGCCCCAGGCTAGAGGCACGACTGAGTAAATAAGAGTTCACAGTCATCCCAGGTATCGGAGACATTTGGGATGCAATCCCAAACCTTTAAGCAGCTACCAGTGGAAGCTGTGCAGAACACAGCTAATGTGTTAGACACACTTAAAAAGTAAAATTTTACATGAAGTCTGTAAAAACACAAAATGTACACTCAAAAATATACATTAGTATATAGGAAAGCCTTTAAAACGGTGATGAATGTTATGATAAAACAAGGCACAAATTTCAAAATTGTTCTAGGAACTGGAGTTGTGGCACAGTGCACAAACCACTACCTAGGATTCAGGTACCACTAGTTTGCTCCACTTTTTTTCTTACACTTTAATTTTAATTTTTTATTTTACGATACAATTCCACAGGCACCACTCCACTTCTGAGCCATCTCCCTGCTGGTAGTATGGGAAAAGCAGAGGAAGATATTCCCAGTGCTTCGGTCCCAACACCCACATGGGAGAAGCTCCTAGACCCTGGCTTTGATCGGTCACTATGGCCATCTGAGAAGTGAACCAGCAGATAGAAACTCTCTCTTTGTCTTTCCTTCAGTCCATATGTAACTCAAACCCATAAACAAAAACCTCTTTTCTGCACTAAAGCTTAAATTAAAGAACTTTTAGCTTACTCATTTGAGAGAACACATGCACATGAGCTGTCATACAGTGGCTCCCGCCCCACTGCCTGTTAAGGGCTGAGGCCTTCTTAGAACCAGAAGCTGGGACTCAGACTGGGGCTTGCATGTGTATGGCAGGGACCCAAGCACTTCAGCCATCATCACTGCCTTCCAAGATGCGTATCAGGAGGAAGATGGAACGGCACTAAAACTGAGGCCCTCAAATACAGGTCACAGGCATCTTAACTACAAAATTTAGAGATGACTTCATTTTTACAGGAACTTCATTTTTACTCATTCAAATCATGGTGAATTCTTCCTCTAAATTTTAAAATTTATTTATAAGGCAAAGAAACAGGCAGGGCCCTTTTCCCTCTGGTTCACTCCTCAAATGTCTGCAACAGTTTGGGGTGGGTCAGGCAAAAGCCAAGAGTCTGAAACTGAATCTGGGTCCCTCAAGTGAGTGGTGAGGATCCAAGTACTTGCACCACACTGTGGCCTCCCAGGGACACGTTAGCAGGAATGAGCCGGGACTCAAACCCAGGCCCCCTGAGATGGGAGACAAGTATCCCAGACAGCAACAATTCCTTCCTGTGTGTATGCAAACACATAATGCATAAAAACACTAAGATCCAAACGATACATTTATGCTGTGCTTATGTATACTTATCACATTAATGACTAAAGTGTCCAATGATGGATCAATATCATCGGCTGCTGCTCCAGCAGCAGCCCTCACCTCGATGCTCTGAAGCTGGGCAGCCACACGCTCCTTTTCCTTGATGGACCTCTGCTGTGTGTCTGCCAGCCGGTGTGACAGGGACACATTCTCAAGCTTCAGGTGCTCCAGGAGACCTGCCTGGGTCATCTGTCCAACCTGCAAGGAAACTGCACAATGAAGTCCAAGTCTGCTCAACCTCAAGCAAGACATGCAGACCACCAGGGTGAGGGTCTCAGACCAGTGACAGCAGCTGGCTGCTCTGTGCAAGACAGGAAACACCTCTGCCTGCCACACTCCTGCCTAGGACTTACTCCCAGAGACCACACTGCAGGTAAGTCTAGCTCCAGACTTCCAGACTCAGACCGTCTGGTTTCCAAGAGGATCCCAGAAACCAGTAGTCTCCGCACCTGAAACTTTAGTCTGTGAAGGGGTCTATGCAAACGTCCTCAACAAAGGTATGCCTCTGAGTCCCAAAGGTGGGGGCCATTTCTGCACTGACCAAGGCCAGAAGGCATGCATCAGGGCCCATGCCTCCATCCGATACCCAACAATGGCCATGGATACCAACTGTCTGCTCAGGAACAAGGAGCCTGGCGCCACAGACCCAGGCTGTAAGGGGCAGCAAAGAGAAGCAAGTCCTGCAAAGTGCCACAGCACATGGGTCTGTGCTGATCATCCACTGAAGGCACCCCACCTGTCAAGGTGCCCACATGGGACAGAGCTGCAGGTTTCAGGCATAGGACAGGGAAGGTGGCTCTGGCTGAGCTGTTTCAACACAAGTGAAAAAACAAAGAATGCCTTGCACCTTTCCCTCTGAAATGCTCATGAAACCAGAAAGATTCAGGTATAGAAAATGTGCCATAATCCGTAATGAAGGAATGTGGAATCTGGCTTCCAAAGACTTTTGGAAAATGCAACTGTGATTCTCAACCTGCCACTCATTGCAACTCATACTGAGCCCTGCTATCTGATGCAGGACACCCACAGCTTTATTTCCCAAGGGCTGCAACTGAAGACGCTTTTCACCATCCTCATCCCCAACACATCCAGGGGATGAGCAAGGAGTATTCTCCCAACTGCCCTGGAGGCTGCTGCAGCAGAGGCACCAGCATATATCACACTCCTGCTGACCCACAACTCCCACTCCCACCATCAGAAGCTAACAAGGGTTGTGCAGCCACTTACCAAACACACAAGAGGGCCAAGAAAGCTTGTCTACAGGTTGTTAGAAAGAGTACATGAAAAGGACTGGATCATTCCATGTGCCTGAGAGTCTTTGCAAACGCACAGAGGAAGGTGTGAGAGAAGGTCTGCTACGAGCTGTTAGATCCAGAGTAGGGAAGGCCTGGGATGGGTCTTGAGGCCCACACACATAAGGGCTGGAGCACCAAAGCCAAACAACAAGTCACCCATGAGTGGAGAAATGGGACCTGTCAGATGTCGTCCACTTCACACAATTACAAAAACTCAAGCAGAAGGGATGTAACCCGGTGCGCAAAGGCCAAGGAGGGAGATTCCTGCATGGGACAATGCAGGGTACTTGAGTGGCTAGCAGATTTTTACACCATTTATAACATGTAAAAGTGGAAAATTCTCTTTACTACAGCACAGAAGCCCTGTTCTACCTGTACATGTGAACAGTGATCAAATCAGATGCTGTGTCTCCCCTGAAAGGGGCCCCTGCAGTCATACCTGGATGTGGGCCATCTCTCCCTGCAGCCTGACCCGGGCCTCCTGAGCCAGAGCAAGCTGCTGCTGATACCATTGCCGGACATTCTGCAGGGATGAGATTTCAGCCTGGGAGGCCTTCAGCTTGCTGGTCAGGGTTGTACGTTCCAGCTGTACCTGCTGGAGCTGGCTCTGCAGGGCCGTCATCTGCTGCCGGAGGTCATGCACTAAAAGTGAGCAAGTATATCCAGCTTAGATCAGCAGCCTCTGGTGGGAGAGCTACAGCTCTGCAGAGGGCCAGAGACACACTTGTTTCCAGACTCCGAACGTCACACAAACACGGCACTGGTGCACACAGAACCACAGAGAGAGCCAAGGTCCTGGTGACAGTACCACAGCCCTCCAAAAGCTCTGGCAGCTGGAGCTCTGAAGGAGAAAGCATCATCGGAGAAACATGAATTGAGGGCATTTCAGACCTGGGCCGATTCTGCTCCGTGGGCTTGGGTCCTTCATCTCAACCCCCAATTTGAGGCTCTCTCCCTAGTGTTCTTCTAAACAGGCCAACCAGAATCTCCTCACTGCCTGCTTGATGCCCGAGTGCTGACTCTCGCATGGAGAGGAGTTGGAGAGGCAAGGAACCATGTGCAGGGGGTCCGTTGGTACAGTCCTACAGGAAGCTGGTTAGGCCATGTCCCTAAACTTAACACAGGGAGAACAGGTAGGCAGTGTTTCTAAACACTTAAAATGGAAGCAGTAATTCTGTGCAAAAGCAGGCAGCTGTCCTGCTCCAGGAACACCAGACTTGCAAGGCAGGATGAGCAGAAGTGTTCACTTCTGACAGTCAAGGGTGAATCGATTACTAAGACCTCAGTCATCCCACCACAGACTTCAGCTGAAGATCATACTGACTTCAGAAAAGCACACACTCATGTGTTGACAGTAGACTAACTTAATGGTCCAGAGAGATGGACCTGATGGCTCAGCAGTCACCACCACCTGACCCACATGGGGGTCAACAGGAAGGCTGGACACCTGCACCCTCACCTGTATTGTCTTTACTGAGGATGTTCTTCTGCATGTCCTCAACTTTGGCCATGAGTCTCTGGTATTGCTCCTCTGCCACCTGCAGGTCACTGTTTGAGGATGCTAGACTGGCATTTTTGGCTTCCAGAGTGTTCTGCAGGTCAGCCATGGCCCGCTCCAGATCCCAGCAGGACTGCTTCAAGGTGTCCACTTGGGAACTGAGCGAGTCCTGCCTCAGCTGGCTGCTGCGACTGTGCTCCACCTGCGCCTGCAGCCTTGTGCTCAGGGCGGCCATCTGGGCCTGCAGCTCAGCCTTCTCTTTCAGCGCCTGAAAAGATTCCCAAACATTCAAATTTCAGAATGGCAAGTCCCTTCCACCCAGAAAACATAAAAGACTCATCCAGTGAGACAAAGAAGGGTGCCAGGCAAGTGAGCCTGGAGTTGAAACACTATGCTCCCCAACCTCCACTCTGCCCCCACAGTGGCAGCCACCCAGAGGAAGGGGATTGTTCAAATCGGTCCAAGGGGCAGGAGGTGTTCATGCTGCATCCAGAACTGGAACACATGCATGTGCACACTTGGGAAGGACAACAGACAGGTTGAGGTAGTAGACGTCTGTAGAAAACCTTTCTGTTATCACATCAAAGGTTCTGGGAAGCTCTAGCCAGGGCTACCACTGGACTCAGAAGCAGCCCACCTCTCACTAAGTCAAGCAGGGAGGGGAAGAAAAACCAAGAAATGGGGCCAGCGACACTGATGATAAGCACAGGGCACAGGCCTTATCAGCACTTTCTTCCCATCCTGAAGTCTACTGGGGTAGGGTGGAGGTGCAGACGGTGCATGTGAAAATCTAATCCCACCCATTCAGGGAGAACTAACATCCTGGAGACAGACAACATGATAAACCAAAAGAGCAAAGACAGAAAGAAACTAAGTCAGTGTCATTAATATCTGCAAGCATGCCAGAAAGTCTGTGCCAGTAACTGTAAACTCAGACTGCGGTTTGCATGCACACAGTACAAATCAGTGACCCCAGGAGTGTGAGGATCCAGAAAACAGGGACGGTGGAAATCACAGACAACCAAAACTAACCCAGGGAACTTTCCAGGAAGAGACATAGTAGAAACCTCAGTGATGTCAAGGCAAGCGTCACGGGGTGGTGTCATCAGTGTGTGGTTATGCCTATTCCCTGCGTCCCCACAACGCACACCCATCAAGCCTTGGACGTGTGTGTGCCTTGCCTCACTCTCCACAGGAGCACAAGTCATTTCCTCTAACTTTGGATACTGCCACCAACCCCACTGTATACAACCAAACAGCAAAGAAAGAATGAAAACTGTAAAATGACTTTCCAGATAAATGCTAATCAGATAGAAAAAGTTCTTAAAAGATCAAGGAGAACCCAGTTGCAGAGGCTCCCATTAAGATGGGGCTTTTGATGGGTCCAGGGTGGAGGGCCACTCTTCTTACCTTGCCCAAGGTCTACCTTGTGTTGATCTGGGCTGAGAGTTGGCTGTGTTGGTGCATGAAAAAGGATGGTTTGGGCCTGGCGTACTGGTATGATTGGCTACTCCTCTGCCTACAAGTACCATTTTCTCATACAGGCTGTCCCAGCTGTTCTACTTCCTATCCTGCTCCCTACTTGTGGCCTGGGAAGCAGTAAAGGATCATCCAAAGCCTTGGAACCCTGCATCTACACGGGAGACAAAGAAGAAACTCCTGGCTTCAAACAGGTCCACATTTGGCTGTTACAGCCATTTGAGGAGTGAACTATCAAGATCTCTGTCTCTCCTTCTCCCTATAATTCTGCCTTTCAAATGAAAGTAAATCTTTTTGTTTATTTCAAAGGCAGAGAAAGGCAGAGTGAGAGAGCTGACTCACTCTCCAAATGGCCACAAGATTCAGGTATGGGCCAGGCCAAAGCCAGGAGTAGAAATTGCACCCAGGTCTCTGATAAGAGTGGCAGAGGCCCACGTACTTGCACGTCTTCCACTACCAGTCCAGGCCATTAGCAGGAGCCGGGTCACAAGCGGCAGTCTAACCGGCATCTTAAGTCACACCTGAGGACAGCTCTCTTCTTCTTCTTCTTTTAAAGAGGGGATGCCCTCCAGAGACATTTTATCTATCTATCTATCTATCTATCTATCTATCTATATATATATTTTTTAAAGATTTATTTTATTTTATTGGAAAGGCAGATGTACAGAGAGGAGGAGAGACAGAGAGGAAGATCCTCCATCCGATGATTCATCTCCCAAGTGAGCACAATGGCCAGTCCTGTGCCAATCTGAAGCCAGGAGCCAGGAACTTCTTCCAGGTCTCCCACATGGGCGCAGGGTCCCAAGGCGTTGGGCCGTCCTTGACTGCTTTCCCAGGCCACAAGCAGGGAGCTGGATGGGAAGTGGAGCTGCCAGGATAAGAACCGGCACCTATATGGGATCCCGGTGCGTTCAAGGCAAGGACCCTAACCATTACGCTACTGCTCCAGGCCAAAGCTCTCTTCTGACAAACATGAAAGAATACAGAAGTCTTGGCAATGCCAGCATGGCTTACTTGTAAAAACATCTTTAAAACTTTACCCAACAAGGAGAAATCACACATTCTTTCAGACATCAAATATCCATTACCTGACTAGCCTCCAGAGTTACAGCTTCCAGCTGTCCTTCAAGTCTCATTTTTTCTTTAAGAACCTGCAACATTTCATCCTGCGTTCCAGCGACTGAGCTTTCCATTGATACACTGGAGAACAAAGGCATAAAAATCAGGTGGTGAGAAACCAGGGTGAGCACCATTTTCCCTCTGCACTCACTGAAGTGGAGAGAGTGAAAGCTTCTACCATTGCCACCAGGGAGCGCTGCTGCCCACACAGTCAGCAATGCCAGCGTCAGTTTGCCAGGACATGCTCAATGGCTGTAGCACACACAAGCATCTGCGCAATCACTGACAAGATCTGTTTCTTACGACACAATAGGGCTGTGAACGGAGGAAACTTTGATTAGCAAAGAAAAGTGAAGTTTCATGGCTTGCCTACCTGCTGCATATGCTGTCTCTCCGGCTCCGCACCTCCCCATTGACATCCTGACCCTCGTCTTGGTGCTCAGCAGCAGCAGCCTGCAGTACATCCTTAATGGAAGGAAAGTGGCCCAGGGCATCTGCAGCAAATTCCTGTCCATTGATCACATAGGACGCTCTCTGAGTGCCCGCCGGGCTTCCCAGGATGGCATGGGTCCTGCGAGCAGAGGTGCTGCTGTAGGAAGAGCTGTCACTCTCGTTGCCATCGGCCTCAGACACGCTGTCCCCAGTCAGGGAGGCATTCTCCAGAGGGTCGTCGGCGTCAGGAGCCAGGCTGATCTCAGACACAAGGGCCACTGCACTACTTCTGCTAGGTCTTAGGGAGGCCCTGTTGGAGTCACTGGCTGGGAGACTGCCAACAGGACTCCCAGCATCAGAGTCTTCAGCTCTGTAATCAGCCAGAGAGCGTATTTTGCTTGCTTTGGAACTTTTTCTCTCCTTAGGATGTGCCAGGAGCCCTAAGCTGCCCACTTTCGGTCCCCGTGGGACATTGGTACGCAGAAAGGAATATTCTTTTGTCATAGCCAAGGTACTGGCTCTTGGTAAGTTTTCTGGGTTTAACATGAGTTCAGGATCAAGTGTGCTAAAAAGCCTCATTTTTGAAGGTTGACTGGACTAAAAAGCAAACAAAAAAGTACAAACATTATTTTAAACATACTTTACAATTGACAAGCTGCGTCCCCAGCCCTTTTACACAGGGCCTATGAGCCCGTCTAATCCCTCGGGGCTCAGTGCTTACGGGCTTATGGGAATAATCACACCTTATGTGAGACTGTGGAATTAAAGCAAGAGCTAAGTAGTACTAAAGTGTGCTGAGTGATAGAGGAATCAAGAGAATAGTATGTTAAGCAGTAGGTAAATAGTTGTAGAATGATAATAATAAGAAATAGTATTATCCAGTAGTATTAAGAACTAGTTCAATAATAACTAAATGTCTAGCAATAAAGAAAATAAAGTCAATGGCAAAAATATGTAAGTGTTAAAAGATAACATTAGATGATTATAGAGATTAAAGTTAAGAGATAGCAACTAGTAGAGAGTTGGATGAGTAGTGGTAATTAGAACATAGGATACATGATATTAGACTGATTCTGATTAATTAATTGCTAAGCTAACCGCTAAGTTTGGCCTCTGTAATAAGTGCTTTGCTTGCTGCAAAGGGGAACTAAGATAAAGCCATGACAGGCTTTGGGGAGGCCTCAGACAGGCTAGGCTCAATCTTCAGTTCCTAGAATTGAGGCACCCTGCTTCCTCGAAGTGGTTTGCCACACACCCTAGACAGAGTCAACCTATCAGAGCAGACTTGAGAGGTCCCTAGTCATCAAGTGGTCATAGCGACAGAGGCTGACCACTGAGGTGGACACGGATAACAGAGACTGAACAGAGTGGTCCTGGGTGATAAAAACTGACCACTTACAAACATGCCAATGCCTGTTCGTAGAATCAGTGGCCCATTCCTGAAATTGCAGCCAAAACCCTATATAAACTATGTGAAATGCATGATCGGGGTTCTTTGCTTTTTTTTTTTTTAATATTTATTTTATTTTTATTGCAAAGTCAGATATACAGAGAAGAGGAGAGACAGAGAGGAAGATCTTCCGTCCAATGGTTCACTTCCCAAGCAACCACAATAGCCAGTGCTGAGCCAATCCAAAGCCAGGAGCCCAGATCCTCTTCTGGGTCTCCTACGTGGGTGCAGGGTTCCAAGGCTCTGGGCTGTCCTTGACTGCTTTCCCAGGCCACAAGCAGGGAGCTGGATGGGAAGCGAAGCTGCTGGGATTGGAACTGGCACCCATATTGGATCCCGGTGCATTCAAGGGAAGGACTTTAGCCACTAGGCCACACCACCGGGCCCCCAAATACAATTCTTTAGGCATTATTAGCTAGACGATTTTCTAAGATGGAAAACAATCAAACTTTCTGCATTTGGAAGTTCATACTGAACTCCTGACAATCACGCTCCACCTGGGAAAAGCAGTGCAGGCTTTGCAGGCACAGCATGGATGAGCCCTGCAGGGGACACAATTTGACCTGCTCCCCTGACCACCAAGTCCCTCTGGCAGCTTACTGATCCCTGATCCTTTTGAAATGTTACTTCTTTTACTCAACTGTTACTAACATTCATTTTAGATGAAGTTGTAATAAAACATCACAAAATGCATCACACAGAGTAACTACCACCTTGATTGGTTCGGCCCACAGCTCAGTGAACAGTTGCTCCTACCATGCAAGAGGCCTAAGGCCTGCTTCTAGCAATAAACTCCTCCTTTTTGGCAAAAAGAGCTATTAACTCTGATGGCAACAGCCACTGTTAACTCACTCACAACAGCCTCTTAAAGTCAGCTTGCCTTAAACTGGCTTGAAAATATTCAAATCCACAGAAAACTGCCAAGAATTGTGAAAGGACATTCATATGCATCCCCTTAACTTTTAATCATTCATGTGACCATATTAACCAGTTATATTTGTAAATAAAATTGATTTTAGCATATTATGTGAACATGCCAAGTGTCACGGGGACACCAGCAACACAAGGTAAAGTTCCTCGAAACCATCAACATAACAGAAAGCTAAAACTGGTGGCTCAAAAACACAACATAAGGTCTGTAAACATTTACTTCTGCTTTTCCAATGACAGATTTAAGTCTCCAAAGGAAACAAGAGCAGGCAGAGGCAGAGCTATCCCCGGCTCAAAGTCAGTACTGTGGGAGCACAGCAGTCTGCCTGGCCCTCCAGAGGTGCAGGAGGGACACTCACCCGCTCCTGCTGGCGTTTCACTCTGTACTGCTGAAGCTGCTCTTCCAGCCGCTTGCGAGCCTCAAGTCGTCCCTGCTCCCCTTCTCCCGTCAGCAGCGAAGACTCCATTGAGCCTGCAGTGGAGAATGGCAGGGCACAAAGAACACATCAGAAACAACAACTTGGTCATTCTGCATGCAGGTTCACGTTTAAACAGAGTAACACAGACCGTCTAGTTTGGCTCAGCTAACAATCCTCCACCTATAAGCACCAAATTCCATATGGGCACTGGTTGGTGTTCCTGCTGCTCCACTTCCCAGTCTTCCCAGTCTGTTTGTGATCTTGGAAAGCAGTGGAGGATGGCCCAAAGCCTTGGGGACTCTGCATGTGCGTGGCAGACTGGCTCCCGGCTTTGGATAGGCTCAGCTCTGGCTGTTGTGGCCATTTAGGGAGTGAACCAGAAGATGAAAGATCTATCCCTCTGTCCCTCCCTCTCTCTGTAGATCTGCTTTTCCAATTAAAATACAAAAATAAATTTAAAAAGAAACACTAAGGTTCTGTAAAACCAAGAGTACTCAAACAGACTGGCAGTACTCACACATGATCGACTTAAGGAATAAAGCCACTGCACGGTATGACCGTAAGACTCACTGCAGAGGAGTGGCCAAACAGATGTCTGTCCACAACAGGCAAGGCTGGTCAGGCCCCTTTCCTAACACATCAGATGCCAATCTGGACTCATCTTCAAGCACAAGAAGGAGAAATGATAACTCTTTAGCCAAAAATTTAAAACCCAAACTTAATTTTGGAATTAAAGAGCTGAATGTTGAGTACAAACAACGGCAGCTACAAACCTAGTATGGCCACAAGCTGGATTTACGGCATATCCTTTTTTATTACATCAGCAGACATACCTGCCAGATACCACCAGACGGCCTAGATACTGACCCAAGTGGAAACATGAAATAATCTCACAGAGTTGCATACACGGCACCCTCTTTAGACCTGGGATTCTGAGGAGGGAAACAATTATTTGTTTTAAACAATTCCACACTTTGGCAGTCACCAAGCTCACTGGGCATTCCTGTGGTCCCAACTCATCCGTGCACCAATTACTAAACAGACACCAGAGCTCTGCACCAGGCCCAGTGGGCCAAAGAGCTCAACCCTAGAAGTGACCATCATGAGGCAACTCAAGCCAACAGGATACTCAAGGAGGACACACAGCCTCGGGGCCAGTGTGGCAGTGGTAATACATGTACAATGTCACATGGGAGGTGTCCACTTCCCCAAATAGATCAGCAGGCACCAGCAGGTGCTACCACCTGGGCAGCCGGGGCCGGAGATCACAGAACTGTAGGATCGAGAATGCAGACTTTCTCCACTTCTTGTGACTCACGTCATCAGCTCATCTCCAGAAATGCTTACACACACTGCAGAAACAAGGGACTGTGGTACAGCAGGCTAAGCTGCTGCTAGATACCCTGTATCAGAGTACTGGCTTGAGTCCCTGAACACCCACTTCTGATCCAGCTTCTTGCCAGGGCACACCCTAGGGAGGCAGCAGGTAACACCAGTGCCTAGACCCTTGCCACCCACATGGGAGACCTGGATGGAGTTCTGGGCTCCTGGCTTCGGCCCGGCCCAGCCTTGGCTGTTTCGAGCATTTGGGGAGTGAGCCAGCAGATGAAAGCTCTCTATGTTGCTCTGCGTTTCAAGTAGACGAAAAAACAAACATTAAAAACAAAAAGCACATTGCAGTCCAAACAAAATAAAGCCGGTAAACAAAAAGGCAAATAAATCAAAAGAAAAGTGTCCAAATATCTGAAGGGACAACTCACAGCAAATGATGTTCAAATGGCTAAAAACTAGATAACCAGGTACCCAGATCCTCTGGTCATTATGATAGCAAAACTGCAGTTTCTACATGCTCGGGAAACCAGGGAGGGACACACCCAGACTCTTGAGGTGGCAGCTTGGTCACTCCAGTCCAGGACTACAAACAGCAGGTGGTGGAAGAGCTGGCCCAGCCACCCTAGAGGATATACTCTGGCTGGAAAGAACAAATTCTAAACCGTACCAGGCAACAGGTACAATTCTCCATGTGACAAAGCTAAGTGTGAAGAGCAAGATAAAAACAATAACCAAAAACTGGGGCGTGCTGACAGGCTTGGAAAAGATCCGGTGAGACTATGACCTACCCAAAGGGCAGGAAGTGAGGAGAGGGAGTGACGGGTCATCAAAAAATGGCTTTGAAAAAGTCCCAATGTTTTGGGGCTCCAAGGTTGCCAGTTTGTTAGTTGCTCACCCTTGAATCACAGACATCAGCAAAACATAAATGCTAGCTCAAGCAATTTATCAAAGAAGGTCTCTATCATTATTGTAGAGCTATCTTGAGATTCATGGCTACTGTCAGCTCGTTGACCACCTGGAGTTTAAAGGCCCTGGGCATCAGGAAGTTCAGCTTTACCACCAACTCCAGACTTCAGGGAAGTCCCAATGCCCAAGTGTACGACTCTTGCTCAAAGGGTCCATGCAGGAAGGTGGCAAAGCATGAGACTACCCAGACTGTTGGGCAGGGCCGGAGCTCTGAGGGCTACAGCCCCTGGTGGGCAGGGAGGGAAGAGCCACAGGGACAGATGCTTACACAGTTGCGTTTCTTGCATAGGAAGACTGACTCTGAGAGACTGCAGAGCTTCTTTTCTAATACTGCCCTCAGCACTAGTTCCCTGAGACTTCCTTAGGTTGTCATGGAAACCAGCCACACCTGGAGAGGCATCAGGACCCACTGGGCTTGGGGTGGAATCAAGAGGCAATGGAGGGTCTGAGAAGTGCAGTGCTGGCCCGTTCTGACAGAGGCCATCTTGCCCAGGTCCATGGGGGCTTCCTTCTCCACTGGAAGCTCTGCTTGCCTTGGCACTGGCCCCTAGAAAGAGAGCACATAGCATGGTTTGCAAACAAAGGACACCCATTTTCAGGTGATCCAAAACCAGGAAATTCTTCCGAGTCTCCCACGCGGGTGCAGGGTACCAAGGCCTTGGGTCATTTTCTACTGCTGTCCCCGGCCACAGGCTGGGAGCCGGATGGGAAGTACAGCAGCTAGGGCACAAACTAGCACCCATACGGGATCACAGTGTATGTAAGGCAAGGACTTTAGCCATTAGTCTACTACACCGGGCCCCACACTCTGTAATTTTAAAGCATGCATCACATTAGTATCTCATGACCAGGCAAGGTCATGAGAAATGAGTGAATAATTCACACATACCCTTTTTTTATCTGGATGTATGACTAGGTCAGTAGCTAAAATTAAAATGTGACTCAACAATCATTAGATTTCTATTGGATGATTTCTGAATTCAGTTATTAAAACTCTGGCAACCAGCGTACCAGAAAGGCAGAATTATAGACAGATAGGAAATAACATGTCAGCAAAAACCTCAGATGCCTTCAAGGAAAATCCCACCACTCATTCAGATCCTCCCACCCTGTTCAATAAGAGTGGGCTTGGGCTGAAGACAGCACCAGCTACTAAAAAGCACTCATGTGATTACAACACAGTCCAATGAGTGAAGCTCATGGATCATCTCAATGCCACAGGGCTCCGCAAAAACTCTGGCTGACCTGTTCAAAGACAAAATGTCAGCAGCACACAGATCATGCTAAGCACTTACGCTGGGCTCTGTCCTGCTGGTCGGGCAGTGCCAGGGAGCCCTTGGGGCAGGCAGAGGTGTCACTGCTGGGTCTGTCCTCCAAGAGGCCATCCTGCTCAGCTGATGCACCATCCATGATCAGAGTGACAAAGGATGAGCCAGTGTGGAGAGCCACAAGGGAACTGCAGGTAAGTCTGACCTCTGCTATCAGAAGCAGCACTGCAATCTGGGCAAAGCCCTCATTCTGCTTTCCATGTTCAGGTTAGGATTTAGAGGTACGAAGTTCTACTGAGGGCTATCATTACACCTGAGGGAAAGAGAAAAAAAAGTGAACACTTGGTTTCTAACTTGTATTTGTACAACCACAGAAAGTAAACAGATGCGCTTGAGAAACAACCCTAGAGTACATGTAAGCCCTTGGTTCTGAGAACACAACGCCAGGCCAGCAACACTTTGGCCTTTCCTGAACGTGCCCAGGGTCCACATCACACAATGAACAAGTTCTGTGATCTGTGCTGCAGTTGTCTGCCATCATCAGTGGCAATCTGGAAACCAAGTTTAAAATTCTATTTACACATCATTACTTTGAATTCAAACAGTCACCTGTGTGGCTTCTGTGTCACACACAGCTACATGAACATGAGCAACATGAGGCCACAATCTTGTCAGACACCTCCTCTGTGAGGTGGACAGCTCCAGTTCACAAGGCGAGAAGCTGAAGCAGCAGCTGCCATGGTTCCTGGTGACTGCATGCTCCACCAGGGCACCTGCACACACAGCTGGTGACCCTTTCCATCTTTTATTTTTAGTTTTGTATCTTCTTTTTTTTTCCTCTTTGATTAGGGTAGGGAAGGTTGAGGTAAGAAGAAAGGTGAGTGGACCAATGTTTGCTATTTTTTTTTCTTCTGTGTCCGTAGGAGGGGGGAGGAAGAGGTCCACTCCTTACTGTCAAACTCAATCAGCACCTGGGGATGAGAGGTCATTTGATGATGCGTTAGAGGCTCCATTGTGAGGAAGAGTGTTCCCGAGAGTGTTACTTGAATAGTTGATAGTTCTGAGAAATTGTTGGTTTGTTACTATAGGACTGAGAAAATCTTTCCAAGGTGTCTTGGTGAAAAAGTCCACCTTAGTGCATCCACAGACCAAGGAACATGCTGTAAAGCTTAGCCAGGAGAGTGGTCCAACCTGTTCTGCTTTCCATCCTCTGACAAGGCAATCAATGTCCCCCGTTGGCCTAGATGAGCTGGCCATCATGTCCCCTGTATGCTTCTGGGCATGCTGTCCACTGCACAGGCATTAGCAACTGAGGAGGCCCAGTCTCAACACATGTACTCCAAGGATGGACGACACATTCTGTGATTTTTCCTGGACTCAGACCTGATGCCTGTGCTGTGGACAGCATGCCCAGACGCACATGGGGGACATGATGATCTCTAATGAATCATGAAGTGACCTCCAACCCCCAGATGCTGATTCAGTTTGACAGTAAGGAATAGAGTTCTCCTCCTCTCCTGCTGCAGACACAGGAGACTGGGAAGTCCCTGAACAAACTTCGCCTGGGGTGACCTCAAGACTTGCCTCTTCGGTGTACCAGCCAGTGCTGGATCAGATTTAATCCATAACCTGCTCCAGCCAACACATATACCAGTGAATGCAACTGCCTGGTGAGCTCTGCCCTAGTCCCACATCTCACAGGAACCTACAGGTGCTGTGGCCCAACCAGCCTGCCACAGACCCAGTACTCAGGTGTAGCTGTAGGTATCGCAGCCTAGTAGAGGCAACCCCCAGTAACTCCTACCAGGTCCATCTCCTGCCCCCAGCCCCGGTTTTCTCATGTACCAGCATCTGCAGCAGCCTAGTCTGGCCCAGTCCACATCCCATCTAGTTCTTGTGCACATGCATGGGTGCTGTGGCTTGGTTGAGTCCAACCTGCTCCCAGACCTGGCCCTTAGGTATGCCCTAAGGTGCTACTGCCTTGTCCAGACTAACATCCTGCCAGCCCTGCCTCTTATGCTGACCAGCTATAGGTACTACCTAGAAAGGGATTGCCCACAGTGCCAGGCATGCTCCCAATCTTTATGCCTGGAAAAGAGGTACTGCTGTTCAGCATGACATGATTTGCACAAAGTTCTGGTATTGGCCAGCTAGTGCTACAGCCAGGCAGCACTTTGGCTAGTGTGCCAGTGGGTGCAGCAGTCTAACCCAGCCTGGTCCATCCCCAGACCAACCTGCCCCCAGTTCCAGCTCTCACACTCACTAGTGGAAGCAGCATCCCAGCAAGGGCGTCCCCAAGTTCCCCTACCAGGTATGCTCCCAGCCCTGGGTCTTTTGTGTGCTAACAGGTACTGCAGCCTAGTCTGAGATGCCCTCACCCCTGTCTTCGCATTTGCCAACAGGTGCTACAGCCTGGCCCTGACCTATCCCTAGTCCCAGCTCTTGCTGGCATGTACAGCAGCCTAGTCCAGCCTGGCCCTCATGTTATCTGGCGAGTGTTACAGTCCAACCCAGCCTGGCATGCTCCCTGTCCTGGCTCTCATTTATGCCACCACATGCTGCAGACTGACCCTGCCTGGATCAACCTCAGATCTGGGTCACACATATGCCAATGGGTTTTGTGGCCCAGCCTTGTCAGACCTGCTCCCAGCCATGGCTCTCACACTCACCAGCAGGAGCTACAGCCTAATAGGCGCGTTCCCTAAGTTTCCCTACTAGGCCCACTCCCAAGAACATACCTTGCATGTGGTGGCAGGTACTGCTATCCAGACTGATATGGTCAGCCCCAGTCCTGGCACTTACCAATGGGTACTACAGCTTAGCGCAGCCAGGCTTGTACCCCAACTCCAGCTTTTGTATGGGCCAATACACAGAGGATGATGCTATTTAGCCCAGCCCTTTTCTCTCACAAAGGCAAATATGCCCTCTAGTTTCCCACCTCTAAACCACTCCATTCCAGCTCCCTTGCCTATCTGCGAGCACAATGGTTTAGTTCATGGAAGACCCCAGAAGCCATTCCTCCCTTATAAAATATACTGCAGCCACTTCCACACCAATACATCCAGACTCCTTCCCCGAGCAATCTAAAGTCTCCCTGCCTTGGGGGCTGAGGTAGTATGTCTGGGTCCAGTTCCCCACCTTCCTTATCTCTTTTAAAAAATAATAATAATAAACAGAATAGGCAACTATGCTGGTACACCGTATAGTTAACACAAATTTGACACTAACCAGGCCCAGAATGCCTGCCAAATATTGCTTGCTTTTCTTCTAGCAGTGCATTTTGAAGTGTACCACTTGCCTAGGTACAAGGCAACCCAGGCAGTTGCCTATATCTGCGTTCATTTCCATCTTTCTTCTCCTGCCAAGCTAAGTTTAAGGGAGCAAAAATCTGCCCAGAGTTTGGCAACTTGTTGTCAATGTATTGATATTAGCTTAATTTCTTCTCAAAGGTAAAGAAAATGAACACCGGGGCCCAGCGCAGTGGCCTAGCAGCTAAAGTCCTAGCCTTATACATGCCAGGATCTCATACGGGCTCTGGTTCTGATCCCAGCAACTTCACTTCCCATCCAGCTCCCTGCATGGGGCCTGAGAAGGCAGTTGAGGCTGGCCCAATACCTGGGGATCCTGTATCCACTTGGGAGACCTACAAGAGCTCCTGGCTCCTAGCTTTGGACTGGCACAACACCAGTCGTTGCAGTTACTTGGGGATTGAATCATCCTGTGGAGGATCTTCCTGTCTGTCTCTCCTCCTCTCTGCATATCTGACTTTGCAATGGAAAGAATATTTTTTTAAAAATGAGTTTCTATGGGCCCGGCGCGGTGGCGCAAGTGGTTAAAGGTCCTCGCCTTGCACGCCCGGGATCCCATATGGGCGCCGGTTCTAATCCCGGCAGCCCCGCTTCCCTTCCAGCTCCCTGCCTGTGGCCCGGGAAAGCAGTCAAGGACGGCCCAAAGCTTTGGGAACCTGCACCCGCGTGGGAGACCCGGAAGAGGATCCTGGCTTCGGATCGGCATAGTATCGGCCCGTTGCCCTCACTTGGGGAGTGAATCATCGGACGGAAGATCTTCCTCTCTGTCTCTCCTCTCTGTATATCCGCCTTTCCAATGAAAAAATAATAAAAATAAATCTTTAAAAAAAAATGAGTTTCTATTCATTGTGCAGAAATACTAGTCTACTTTCTTTAGAACAAGCTTTATACTATCCTGCATTCTGTTTACCCTTTCTTCTCTATCTTACAAATCCCATACAGGCTCACAGACATACCCAAGTGGTGGTTCTCACAAGGGGGCAGACAGCATGCCTGCGATCCCATGAATATCTTCTCTGACTCCATCTGCCCTGTACCACTAGTCACTTGTGTAGCCCAGTACATAAGTGTCCCCCCTCCAAGGACTCATGGGCGAGTTCTTTGCTCTGCTGCTTTGTATCACACAGGTCACTTGAGTTAATGAAACTGCTATTCAGAATATGAAAGTGAGGGTGGGATTGAGATGCAATAGGTTAAGCCACAGCTTAGCATGTCAGTATCAAATCTGAGAGTGCCAATTCAAACGCAGGAGCCTCCGCTTCTGACCCAACTTCCTGCCAATGCACCTGGAAGGCATCACAAGACGGTTCAAGCGCTTGTGTCCCTACAACCCACATGAGAGATGAAGGTGGAGTTTGATTGCTGGTTTCAGTATGGCCCAGCCAGGGAGTAAACCGGTGGATGGTGGAGTCTCTCAATCTCACTCTGTCACTCTTAAAGTAGATGAAAATGAGCAAACATTCAAAAAAAATTACTCCTTTAACATCCATTCCCTGGCAGTTAATGTGCTTGCATTCCACAACAGAGTGACTGGGTTAGACCTCCAGCTTCCTGTTCAAGTAGACACCAACAGGCGGCAGTGATGGCTGAAGCAGTTGTGTTCCTGGGCATTTGCAGTCAGTGAGGAGGAGCTGTGTGTGTGTAGGTCTGCCTCTCTCTCCTCTATTCCTTTCATTACTCTCTTTCAATTTCTAATAATGTAATACAAATCTCTTTTAAGATTTATTTTATCTTGAGCTATCTCTGGTTCTTACTTAGCTCCAACTTCGGGTCCCCAACCTGTCTGCAATGACCATGAGGGACGCAAAAGAGCCCCCCCCTCCCCAACACACACACACACACACATTACAAATTGAAATGGATAGGCAGAGAACAACAAGGAAGGCTTGGTCAACATGGACTCACACACACCTTACTAGGTAGGACACAGGGATTAAGTACTCCTCACCAAGGTATGGAAGATTTCTCTGCACACCCCTCCTAAAACTGTTTCGCACCTCAATTGTTGAAATGTCATTGAAATAGTCACAGGAAGTTGTTAAGACCTTGCATCCAATTTTGACATATTGGTTGCTCAATACCGTGTCAATTTATCTCTTAACGTTATATATTGTTGCTGATGTTATGTTGGGGCTTTTAATTGATCAGATTTACTCTGTTGGCTCTGCCTTCGGACCGGGGAGGGTCTCCCTAAGAAGCTGCTGAACTTGACCGGACAATAAGATGCTGGACTCTATGCCTGGTGTATGCTTGCAATGAAGGAATCTCAACTGAACTTGAACTGTGGTTATGCAACGGGGGGGGGGGGGGGGGGAAGTCCACCATGGGGGGGGGGTTGGGAGATGGGTGGGGAGAATCCCAGTGCCTATAGAACTGTGTCACATAATACAATGTAATTTAAATAATAATAATAATAATAATAAAGAAAATAGTTGACAGAAAAAAAAAGATTTATTTTATCTTTATTGGAAAGCAGAGTTCACAGAGGGAAAATCAGACGGAGATCTTCCATCCACTGTTTCACTTCCCAAACGGTCAACACAGTTGGAGCTGAGCTGAGCAGATCCAAAGCCAGGAACCAGAAACTCCTTTTTTCTTTTTAATTGAAGATTTATTTTTATTGGAAAGGAAGATTTACAGAGAGAAGAAGAGACAAAGATCTTCCATCTCCTGGCTCACTTCTCAACTGACCACAATCTGAGGCAGGAGACAGGAGCCTCTTCTGAGTCTCCTAAGTGGGAGCAGGGTCCCAAGGCTTTGGGCCGTCCTTGACTGCTTTCCCAGGCCACAAGCAGGGAGCTGGATGGGAAGTGGAGCAGTGGGGACACACTCACAACCACATGGGATTCCAGTGGTTACAAGGTAAGGATTTAGCTACCATGCATGGCATCGGGCCCCAGAGCTTCTACTGGGTTTCCACATGGATGCAGCAGTGTTGCACGCTAAGCTTCCACCTGTGGCCCCAGCACCTCATACTGGCACCTCTTCAGTTCCAGCTATCCATTTCTGATCTCATGTGGCCATTTGGGGAGTGAATCAGCAGATGGAAGATCTCTCTCCCTTTCTCTTATAATTCTTTCAAATAAATCTTAAATCAAAATAAAAAAAGGGTCAGCATTGTGCTACAGTGTGTTATACTGGCACTGATTTGAGTCCCAGCCAGCTCCCTGCTAATGGCCTGGGAAAGCAGTGATCATGCCTGGGAACTTGTGTCCCCACCACCCAGATGGAGTTTGATGCTCTTGGTTTTCCCTGGGCCAGCCCATCACCATTAGGGGAGTCAACCAACATATGAAAGCTTTCTTTCATCTCTCTAGTCTATCCCCCTCACTGTAACTCTGCCTTTCAAATAAATAAATCTGAAAAAAAAAATACAGGATGTTTATATATTCTATTAGAACAAAAGTAGCTTTAAGGGCTTATAAGTAGAAAATACTGTTGGGGAACCAGCATAGTGGCTCCACAGATGAATCCTCCACCTGCAATTACCAGTGTGCCATATGGTCTCCAGGTTGTGTTCTGGCTGCCCTACTTCCCATCCAGCTCTCTGCTTATGGACTAGAAAAGCAGCAGAGGGTGGCCCAAGTCCTTGGGAGCCTGTATCTACATGAAAGCCCCAGAAGAAGCTCTTAGTATCCTAGCTTTAGATTGGCTCAGCTTCGGCCATTGCACTGCTGAGCCAATCTAAAACCATTTGCAGAATCAATGGCTGCAAGATCTTTTTCTTGTCTTTCCTTCTCTTTCCAACAAAAATAAAACAAATCTTAAAAAAAAATTGACAGAAATGTGTGAAAGCATTCATAATTGTAAATCCAGAGTAGCAAATCCAAAGTTACCACAAACCAAAGATTCTAGTATCTGACTCATGGTGCTTAGCACATATAAATATTTAGAGAGGAAAACAATATCTGAGTAACAGAAATGAAAGAAGTTACTGAGGTTCGCCCTCAGGCAGGCTAAACCCCGAGAACAGATGAGGATGTGGAAGAAAATGTGATGAACTGGTTGAGAACTTCTGAGGAGGAGGACAGACTCCTGGAGTTCCTCTGATGATGCTCTGACATTAATCAAACCATCTGGCCAGCTCCAGTCAGCCACCACTCATCACTGAGGAAGCTTGTATTATGAAGAAGGCATTGTGAGTAATGCTTGTATGCAAATTAAGTATGCTGCAGCCACCCAATATAAACCTGCAGGTTATGATAGAATCCTGCATGCAATGAACAGTTTATAAACCGGGGCCCAGCGGCGTGGCCTAGCGGCTAAAGTCCTCGCCTTGAACACACCAGGATCCCATATGCGTGCCAGTTCTAATCCTGGCAGCTCCTCTTCCTATCCAGCTCCCTGCTTGTGGCCTGGGAAAGCAGTCGAGGACGGCCCAAAGCCTTGGGAACCTGCACCCATGTGGGAGACCTGGAAGAAGTTCCTGGATCCTGGCTTCGGATCGGCATAGCATAGGCCGTTGCGCTCACTTGGGGAGTGAATCATCGGACGGATATCTTCCTCTCTGTATATCTAACTTTCCAATACATAAATAAATCTTTTTTAAAAAAAACAGTTTGTAGGGCCCGGCGCGGTGGCGCAAGTGGTTAAAGGTCCTCGCCTTGCACGCCCGGGATCCCATATGGGCGCCGGTTCTAATCCCGGCAGCCCTGCTTCCCTTCCAGCTCCCTGCCTGTGGCCTGGGAAGGCAGTCGAGGACGGCCCAAAGCTTTGGGAACCTGCACCCGCGTGGGAGACCCAGAAGAGGCTCCTGGCTTCGGATCGGCATAGTATCGGCCCGTTGCGCTCACTTGGGGAGTGAAACATCGGACGGAAGATCTTCCTCTCTGTCTCTCGTCTCTCCTCTCTGTATATCCGCCTTTCCAATGAAAAAATAATAAAAATAAATCTTTAAAAAAAAAAAAAACAGTTTGTAAACCAATACAAATTCAACTTATATCAAAGGCAATTTTCCCATAACCAACTAAAATATCTCTATATCCTATAAACTTGATGTATTTATTTATATTAATAAAAGTATCACAATGCTTATATATGCAAGAAAAAAAAGCGCAAAGATTTTCTCAGGATTGAATGAGACAGGGGCAGAACCTGGGTAGTAGCAAAAGGTGCCTCTCTCCCTCCAACTGAGGCTGGTCGACACTGACAGGTAAAGCCAACTAGAGACTTTCTCACTGCACAATGTACACACTTCAGGCAGCTGCACACGAAGCCACCTCTGAGCCAGGATAACATCAGGTGAATGCCTTAAGAAGAACCATTAAAGGGCCACGAACGGTGACAGTGACAAGCAGGGTGGGAGTGACCTGGTCCCCTAGCCGCACCTTCCCCTCCGCACATGCCCCCATCCTACAGCTTCCCAGTCTCAGGTGCTCGCACCTTCTCACGACCCCTGTGCAGCTGCCCTGCCCCAGCAACCTCCGTGACGGCCCACGGGAGTCCTGCGTCCCTCCCCAAGATACGGCCCACGAGCACCCACAAACACCCGGGGACAGAGGTCACTCCTGACTCACTGGGCACCAACACCCGGGGATGCGCTCGAGCCCTCTTCAACCCGGAATTACCACGGGAGTCCCCCGTGCAGCCGGCCCGTGACCCTCACCCGGCGCTCGGACCCCACGACCCCGGCCCGTGACCCTCACCCGGCGCTAGGGTCTCACGACCCCGGCCCCCCATGACCCTCACCCGGCGCTAGGGTCTCACGATCCCGGCCTGCCCGTGACCCTCACCCGGCGCTAGGGTCTCACGGCCCCGGCCTGCCCGTGACCCTCACCCGGCGCTAGGGTCTCACGACCCCGGCCCCCCATGACCCTCACCCGGCGCTCGGGCCCCACGGCCCCGGCCCGCCATGACTCTCACCCGGCGCTCGGGCCCCACGGCCCCGGCCCGCCATGACCCTCACCCGGCGCTCGGACCCCACGGCCCCGGCCTGCCCGTGACCCTCACCCGGCGCTCGGACCCCACGGCCCCGGCCTGCCCGTGACCCTCACCTGGCGCTCGGGCTCCACGGTGGCAGTCCGAGCCCGCCGCCCGTGGAGACGTGGCCACTCGCGGGGCGGGTCCCGCTCCGGCCCCCGGAAACAGCGTGCGCGCTGCCTCCGTTCCGAAGGAGGAAATGTCTCCTCCGGCTTGACAGCAGCTGCACTCAGCCCAAGCGTTCTCCTGCTGCCGCGGGGTCCACGCGCGCCCACCCCCGTCTGGCCCCAGGCGGACTTCGGAATGTGACTACCGCCCACCCACAAACACAACTTCAGACGTTTGGGAACCACTCTGACAGGAGGCCGGACAATTCAGCTTCCGGTGGAAGTGGCGTGGCGGCGCGCCGTCGCCTGCCTCTGGGCCACGCCCAATCCGCCCGGCAGGAGGCGTGACCCTGCTGTCCCCGCCCCACGTGTGGGCGTGGCCCGGTTGCTTGCAGCTCGGCCTTGTCTTGGTCTCCCACGCGCCGATTCCACAGTGGCTTCTGCTGTGGGGCCACGTGCACGTCGTGCCCTTTCAAGACACAGGCCGTGGTGGCGACACAGGCGCGAGGCTTGGCAGAAGCAGCTGTGTTTTACCTGTGGACAGACCCCGCGCCTGGTCCTATGGTGATACCCCATGCGAGTCCTCGACAAGTGTGCTGCTCCTGAGAGCTGACGGTGGCATGGCATAACGTCCTTGCCTCTGGATACCGCATCTTGTGATTTCACGAATTGCATGCGCATACGTGCGGTGAATACTTGTTGATGGCCACGCGGCCGTCGCAGTTCCAGAGGAGTAACTAGCACCTGTGGATGCTGTACACTGAGGCCCTCCCGGACTCAACTGCTCCGTATTTTTCTGTATATATCCCTCGGAATTTTCCACACAACAACCCATCAAGTCGTTTCAAATACCAGGCTTGGGCAAGTGAGTGGGCGTCTGCGTTCCAACAGGTGATACTGCCACTTCACGTGTGGGGTCCAGCTACCTGGGAGGCCATTGGCAGTCAAACACAGAGACCCCAGCACCTGGTAGGTCCCCAGGGATGGGACTCCCATCTGAACTGCTAAGTGATCTAGTAGAATGAGGATCTTTCTCTCCCCGTTTGCCACTTTGTCTTTGAATAAAGAAAATTAAAAATTTAAAGAATTAGGGTTCAGTGCGATGGCTTAATCACTAAATCCTCCCTTGCAAGCCCCAATATCCCATATGGGTACCAGTCCCTCCTCTGCTTCCCATCCAGTTCCCTAGTTAGGGCCTGGAAAAGCAGTGGAGGATGATTCAAACCCTTGGGGCCCTGCACCTGCAATGGAGGACCTCAAGGGAGCTCCTGGCTCCTGATCAGCTCAGCTCTGGCCATTTCAGCCATTTGGGGAATTAACCAATAGATGGAAGATCTTTCTGTTTCTCCTTCTCCTGGTAAATCTGACCTGGCTTTCCAATAAAAAGTTTTTAAACATAAAAGAAATTTAGGTAATTATTACAGGTTGGAACCAGTGCTGTGGCTTTACAACCAGTCTCTTTCTGTAGGGCAACATCCCCTATGGTCACAGGTTCCAGTCCCAGCTGTACGACCCCTGACCCATCTCCCTGCTAAGGCACCAGAGAAAGCAGCGGAGAACGGCCCAAGGCCTCGGACCCCTGCACTCACATGGGAGACCAGGAAGAAGCTCTTGGTTTCGACCTGACCTAGCCCTGGCTATTTGCAGACAGTTGGGGAGTGAACCAGTAGATGGAAGATCTTTGTCCCTCTATGTAACACTTCCAAATAAATATTTTTTAAAAAGCTCTGTTGGAATAGTATCACACCCCTAATAAAACAGTAAGGACAAAACAGTGGCAGCAACACACACTGGCAATGATATACAGAAATGAGATCCCTCCCTTCCACAGGTGCATCCACATGTCACCTGTCAACTGCTCCCTGGGCATGTATCTTGGGGAAAACAAACTCAGGCCTACAGAAAACTTCAGAATTATTGTCCTGGCAGCATTGTTGATAATGGTGGTGCAAAAATGGAAAACAACAAAAGGTGCTATGGTGAGTGACAGGCACATTGATACCACAGAACACCACTCACAGGAGCAATGAAAAGGAACAAGGCATGACCTTGGCCAGAACTCAGAACTCACTCCTCTGGGGCAGTCCTTTGTGTATGACACAAACCACTTACTTAACACTCAAGAAATAACAAACTTATAGAGACAGCAAACACATCAGGGGCTGCCAGAGTAGAAATGATGGAAAAAGCACAAGGGAGATGTTGATGGAAATGAAATGTTCTGGATTTAGACTGTGTTGCTAGTTACATGAATCTTCAAATGTGGTATGACAGAAACCACACACAAACTGAATCCTTACACGGTATGACAGAACCTATGCCAGCTAGACTGCTGTGCGTGTCCCTGGCTGGCCAACTACACAGTTGTCTGTCCACTGGCTCTGCAGCCATAGCAGTAACTCAGAATCACTACTGACACACCAGACTGAGCCAGCAGGTGGCTGCCGAAGGGCCCTGAAGGGAAATGTGCAGCTCCTGGTTTTCCACATTTTCCCTCCCATGTTTAGCTTCCCATGACAGGGTACTAGAAGCCTCTAGTAAAAACACTGCAGGCTGCTCTAGCTCTCCCCTCAGCTGAGCTGCTGGCCAATAGCAAAGTCTCCAGCAGGCAGATGGGTATTCCAGACCGCCTGTTTGGCTGCCTCCCAGGGAAAGGTCCCAGAACACCGGGTGTGGCCAGCGTGTACCTGCTGCTCCAGGTCTGGGCCTGATCATTCCACTCAAGCTAGCACTGAGGTTAAGATGATTTCAAGCTTATTTCAGGAGTGTGTGCTTGGCCCAGAAGTTTGGTTATATCTTGGGATATCTGCATCCCACCTTGGCTCTAGCCATCAACTCCAGCTCTGGGAGCCAAGAGGTGATGGCTTAAGAACCTGGGTCCCTGCCACATTAGAGGGAGTGCTGGATTCTGTTTCTGGCTCCTGTCTTTGGCCTGATCCAATCCTAGCTGTTGTGTGAACTAGTGGACAGATGTAACTCCATCTCTGCCAAGTAAGTAAATAATTCTTTTAAAGACCTATTTCAAATTGTCCTTGTCTCTGGTGTCTGAGACAGAAAAAAAAAAAAAGCTAAATATTCTTCATGAATATTTGGCAGGGTCTCCACCAGGCTCCCCTAGAACCTTTAAATCCTCTTCTCCCGGCTTGCGGTTCACAATCCCTCCTGTTACCTCCTTATAACAACACACAAGACATGGCACAGCTGCTCAGAGGTAGATGGGCAGGGCTGACCTTGTCTGATAACACACAGCTGCTGAGCAAGGGGACATGGGCAGGGCTGACCACAAGGGGTACATAGCGAAGGAGCAGGGGAGAGTCAGTGGGCAGCAAGGATCCAACTCTGATGTCTTCTGGGATGCACTCAGGCAGCGATACAGAGGCTGCCAGGAGTCTGCAGCAGATGCTAGCTGTCACTCCATGGAGGACTGTGAGGGCTTACCTCACCTGACCCACTAGGACACAGGGCTCCAAAAGCTGGAGGGTGGTTTGTTATTTTAGAGTGTGCTGGAAGGGTCTGGAGGAGCAGGAAGCACTGCCCAGGTTAACATGGACCTGTTTCTATAAACAGTTCCTCTTCAAGGCCGGGAAGCACCAGCTGGTCTCAGGTCCTTCAGCTCATCAGGAAATAACAGCTGAATCTGGAATGTGCTGCCTAGCAGAGTCCCTTTAGCCTCTCCGTGGTGGGCCAGGCATCACAATGCTGTGAGTCTTGAGGATGCTCTGACATCTCCTGCCGTTCCTGAACAGACCCTGCATAACCCAAGGGAAGCTGAGGTTCTGTCCAAACCCAGGCTCTGCAGTTTCACTTTTACCTTTAGGGGAGGAAGGAGGGATGGCAATGTGTGGTGAGCCAGGGTTTGCAAGGCAGACACAGGGAGGCCCAGGTTGCTTGACTGTTCAGGCAGCACACCCTGGGCTGGTGCAGAGGTCCTGCTGCCTCCCTCCTGGGCTGCGGCTCCCAGGGTTGGTGGGACCAAGACTCCCCATGCCACTATCCCCTCACAGCAGTTACTTGTGACCCTTAAGTCTGCACCTCACGAGGCTTATCTGCAGACAGAATCCTCTGACCGAGTAGTAGACAATTTAGTGAACAATATAAGCAGTAACAAACCAGTAAACCTTCACAGGACCTGTCTCCAAAACCACACTCACTTGGGGCAGCCTCACACATGAGCCCAACACAGAGAGGGGAGAAACAAATGCAGCTTGTTTATTAAAATAAAAGCAAGGATGTTCTCCCACAAATACCGAGTGCTGCTTCTCAGTGTATATCAAGAGCAAGTCATCGCTGAAAATCGTTATTCCTGAGAAGAAGCAAAAACGCTACCAGTTTGCAAACATAACAGGTGATCTCAATGACAGATAAAAAAATTTCCTAACAAATCCAAAAGCTTCAAGTATTATTCCAGATGGCATGGCAAACCTAACGTGGGAGGAAGGGGCTGGCAGGAGCAAAGGCCCAGCAGCCACTCACACTCTGGGGTCCCAGTGAAGAGGGTGGCACTCACAGGGAGCAGGACGAACATGGCCATGCACTCAGGTCCTTGTCCCTGCTCCACAGCCAGGACCCGTCACCAGCCCTACATGAGGGACAGCAGTACCTCAAGTCACACACTTTAGCAAGGGGCTGCTAACTCAACATCCATGTCTAAGGCTAGCAGTTCCGGACATGTGATGACTTTTTGAAACAAACAGAAACATATGCTTATCTTTCGAATGACATCCACTCCTCCATTTAGTCAATTTGTAAATTATAAATTATATTATTTGTGCTAGTTGTGATATTTAAATCTTACTAGAAGATAAGCACCAAACCTATTAAAATAAAAATTATATAAATCACTGTGGCTCCCCACAGCAGAGTGATCTGCACATCCTGTAGGCTGTAAACAGAGGCTCCCTTTCCTGGAACATGATGGTTTTGATAACCTTTCCCCTTACTCCCACCAACTTTTCCTGATTAGATTTTTGGACAAGGTACGATAAGGGCACACCTGCACTATCACAGTCAGAGCAAAGAGGATGCGTGTGTCCTGCAGGTAGTGCCTCCCTCCTCTGCTGGTGGCTCTGTAAGGAGCTTGGCAAGAGGAGGGTTGTGGCCAGGAACCCCAATCACTTCGGGGGATAGAGCGCCTGACCAGAGACCCCCCAGTGTCGCCTCAAGAGGACTGTAAATATGCCCGATGAGCATCTGTTCTCAGGACTTTTGAAAATGTGCTGTCACTGCCTGCAGCACTGCAGCCATCTC